GAGTCCCACGTCGGGCTCCCTGCATGGAGCCTGCTTCTCCCTCTGCCTGTGTCTCTGCCCCCCCACCCCCCAATGAATAAATAAATAAAATCTTTAAAAAAATGAGCAGAAGACAGGAAGACATTTCTTCAAAGAAGACATCCAATTGGCCAACAGATACGCAATATCACTCATCATTAGGGAAATGCAAATCAAAACCATATGAGATATCACCTCATACCTGTCAGAATGGCTAAAATAAAAAACTCAGGAAACAAGTGTTGGTGAGGATGTGGAGAAAAAGAAACTCTGATTCACTATTGGTGTGAATGCAAACCGGTGCAGCCACTATGGAAGAATAGTACGGGGGTTCCTCAAAAAGTTAAAAATAGAACTATTCTACAATCCAGGAATTTGCACTACTGGATATTTACCCAAAGAATAAAACATTTGAAGGCATATATGCACATTATTTGTAATAGCCCAACTATGAAAGCAGCCCATGTCCAACAATAGATGAATGGAAATCATCATTATTATTCTACTTCCTTCCCTGTTGAAATTTAATCTTTTACTTCTTTCTTTCCTATGTAGATGGAATATATTATACTTTTGTTGAGATAAAAAATCCAAATAATTAGAGAATGAAGTTTTCAATGAGTTTGCTCTTCAAACTTCTAGGAGTCTCACTAATAATAGTGTTACTTTAATCACTGAATCATTACTTAAATGGCTTTGTGTGGCTAGGCCTTTAATCTTGAGGTTGTAAGCAGTTAGAAGAAAAGAGCAATATTTTAGATTGTAGTTCTCAAACTTTAGAGTCTCAGAATAAACTGGAGGGCTTATAAGAAACTCATCTTGCTCAGCCTGACCCTCAGCAGATCAGGAATGGGGCCTGAGCATCTGCATTTTCAACAGGTTATGCTGATGCTGCCAGGCCAGGAACCACATTTGAAAATCACCTCTTTACAAATAAGGAATAAAAGCTTTTATTTTAACTTTTGGGATAGAAACCTTTCATCATCATCATCATCATCATCATCATCGTGATAATAGTAACAATAATCGTGCTATTCTGGTCTCTGTATTTAGTATACTTTCTGTGCTGGGCACTTAACACATTTTGTTTATATTTTCCAAAACACTCATGAAGTCTATTTTACCATATGAATTTTCGTTTACCTAAAAGGAATATAGACAGAATTTAAAATGTTTTTGAAGATGGAGGAAGAGGCCATGGAGTAAGCAGTGCATGCAGCCAAAAGCTCATAAAGGCGAGGAAGTGGCCTTTAGAAGGAATGTAGCTGTGCTGACCCATTTTAGACTTTTGATCTGCACTGAAGGCTAATAAGTTTGTGCTGTTTTAAATCTATACATTTGTGGTAATTTCTTACACCAGCAATAGGAAACTATTACAATGACTTTTCAAAGATTTTAGAAAATGGAGTACAGGGCAGCCCTGGTGGCTCAGCGGTTCAGCGGCGTCTTCAGCCCAGGGCCTGATCCTGAAGACCCTGGATCGAGTCTCATGTGGGGCTCCCTGCATGGAGCCTGCTTCTCCCTCTGCCTGTGTCTCTGCCACCTGCCTCTCTGTCTCTCATGAATAAATAAATAAAATCTTAAAAAAAAAAAAAGAAAATGGAGTACAGAAGAGACGTTTACATATCTCATTGTCCAGTTAGTACACGTGAAAATCAGTTCACGCCAGTGGTGTCCAAGTACCAGCTCTTCCTGTTCAGGTCCAGGAATCATCTGCTTGTGTTTCTCATTGTCAAGTATGCTCCTCCTCCCAAACTTCATGGTCTCCACCAATAGAAAAAAGAGCAATTCTGTTATTCTCACAATGTTGTGGCTCCTTAGTACCTGTTTGTATGAAGATAGCATATTCTCTTGCAGTTCCCTGATACATTTATTTATTTAGGCTATATTATTACTTCTGGCAGTGCCACATCCATTTTACTGCCTATGAATACAGGCTGTCAGTGAGCTGATGATCATCAGGTGATGATCGGCATAAATGCAAGTCTTAGAATAAGTAGAAGAAAAATATGAATGATAATTTCCAGTTGTGTTAAATTTATGTTTCAGAATTTTATAATACAAAATAAGACAACACATCTTACAACTACTTTTCTTGAACTCCTTAGGCCATATTTACTGCTTTCGTACCTATGATGGGCTCTCATTCAATGTTGACTTCGCTCCTGCCTTTATAGAAGGCCACTAGGTGAATAAGAAGAATGTTCAGGGGCAGCCCGGGTGGCTCAGCGGTTTAGCGCTGCCTTACAGCCTAGGGCGTGATCCTGGGGACCCGGAGCTACGGGGGCTGCCCACATTTTTTATTCAAATTCAATTTAGTTAACATATAGTGTATTATTAGTTTCATGGGTAGAATTTAGTGACTCATCAGTTGCGCATAACACCCAGAGCTCATTACATCACATCCCCACCTTAATGCCCATCACCCAGTTACTCCATCCCCCCACCCACCTCCCCTCCAGCAACCCTGTTTGTTCCCTATAGCTAAGAGTCTCTTATGTTCCCCTCCCTTTCTGTTTTTATCTTTTTATTTTTTCTTTCCTTCCCTTATGTTCATCAGTTTTGTTTCTTAAGTTCTACATGAGTGAAATGTTGTCCTTCTCTGACTTATTTCACTTAGTATAATACATAATCTTGCTCCATCTACACACTACAAATGGTAAAATTTCTTTTTTTTTAAAGATTTTATTTATTCATTTGAGAGAGAATGAGAGAGAGTACAAGCAGTGGGGAAGGACAGAGGGAGAAAGAGAAGACTCCCCACTGAGCAGGGAGGCTGATGTGGGACTTGATCCCAGGACCCTGGGATCATGACCTGAGCTGAAGGCAGATGCTTAACTGACTGAGCCACCCAGGCATCCAAGATTTCATTCTTTTTTGATGGCAGAGTAATATTTCATTATATATCTATATCACCTCTTCTTTATTCATTCATCTGTCAATGGACATCTGGGTCCTTCCCATATTTTGGCTATTGTGGACATTGCTACTGTAAACATTGGGGTGCATGTGCCTCTTCCAACCACTATTTTGTATCCTTTTTTATTTTTATTTTTTGTATCCTTTGGATAAATACCTAGAAGTACAATTGCTAGGTTGTAGCATAGTTTTATTTTTAACTTTTTTGAGGAAACTTTTTGAGGTTTTTTTGAGGAAACTGTTTTGAGGAATTCTGTTTTCCAGAGTGGCCACACCAGTTGGTGAGGCTGCAGAGAAAGGGGAACCCTCTTACACTATTGGTGGGAATGCAAACTGTTGCTTATTTATTTTTAAGTGTAACTCGTCTTATCCATAAGATCACTGTCCTCTAGGTTTATGAATTTTCCTTGGTTTGCAGCAATATGGTAAAACTCCCACTAGGAGTAGTGCCAGTAATGGCTATTAGTTTATTAGTGAAAATCTGATAGCTAACATCTTTCTGGTAGAAAACAAATTCTTTTTCCTAAAAGATTGTTTTATTTAGCTTTTTTTAAATTTTTTTAAGGGTTTTATTTATTCATGAAAGACAGAGAGAGAGGCGAGAGACATGCAGAGACACAGGCAGAGGGAGAAGCAGGCCCCATGCAGAGAGCCTGATGTGGGACTTGATCCTGGGTCTCCAGGATCAGGTCCCGGGCCGAAGGCGGCACTAAGCCGCTGAGCCACCGGGGCTGCCCCTATTTAGCTTTTTTTATCTTAAATTTCACCTCTTGTCCAACTCAGAATTTCTAAAAACTTTGTATTGATTTTTGTTTCCTTTCACTGGAATTAGCTTTCCTTTTTTTTTTTTTTAATATTTTATTTATTTATTCATGAGAGACACAAAAAAAGAGGCAGAGACCTAGGCAAACGGAGAAGTAGGCTCCCTGTAGGGAGCCTGACGTGGGACTTGATCCCAGGACCCCGGGACCATGATCTGAGCCAAAGGCAGACGCTCAACCACTGAGCCACCCAGATTCCCCTTTCTTTATAAAAAATTCAATTTTTTTAAAAATTTTTTAAAAATTTATTTATGATAGTCACAGAGAGAGAGAGAGAGAGAGAGAGAGAGAGGCAGAGACACAGGCAGAGGGAGAAGCAGGCTCCATGCACTGGGAGCCCAAAGTGGGATTCGATCCTGGGTCTCCAGGATCGCGCTCTGGGCCAAAGGCAGGTGCCAAACCGCTGCGCCACCCAGGGATTCCCCGGATTACTTTCTTAAATAAAACAGGAACTCTGGCACCCCCTAATGGTCAAAAGTTCTAAACTAGTATTTTACACGAGCTTTCATTTTATTTTTGTCTTTAGTTTTGTGAATTAGGCATAACTGAGATATTCGGTCCCACATGGAGTGGGCTTGTCTAGTGGTAAAACTAAGTGACGAATCATAAATTCTGAGTTTAATTATACCTCCACACCTCTCCATTAGCAGCAATGAAGGCACGGTGGTATCTGGGGTTCTGTGGAGGCAGGACATTAGCTAGTATCAGATGAACCACAGGAATGTTAACAGTAAAAACCCAAACAAAACAAAACCTGCTGGGTGAGGGATATTTTATCTCTAATGCTTCTAGATAGCCCATTTGATCCACTAAGAATGGATTTGAGACCTTTTACTATTAAGATTCAAAAAGAGAACCAAGAGGAATATATATACCTGCCTTGAAACTGGACAGGTCTAAGCTCAAATCCAGCTCATGCCATTTGGCAAGAATAGAACTCCTAAGCCTTAACTCCTCATGCAACAGGAGGCCAGAAATAATCACCCTCCACAGAGCTGTTAGGAAATCCAAGTGAAGAAGGCATGGAAAATGTTGCCCTTAGATTGGTAGCAAAGGATGTTAATACAAAGAAGACTATTACTGAGAGGAGTCTTGGCAAAAGGAAAGCATCTAATAAAACCACATTTTTCCAGCCAATATGGCCACAGGCTAGCTTGCTTGCCTAGTCTCTCAAACCATTGGGCCATTCTCTCTGCCTAAATAAAATTCTAATAACCACACAATACTCACACCGACTTGTTCATTCTTCTTTTTATTTTTACAAAGCATAGCAAAATGAGTAAACAACTGACAGGTGAAGAGTTTGCACAACAGACCACCCTGACCATCTCTTGATTTTATGGGGATCATAGGTGGGAATGTGTTCCTTTAAAGTGATTTTTTAATAGAAGAGTCATCTGAAATGGTTCTCATGGTGGAGGAGAGGAACGACAGGAAATCAATATTCACAATTATTTAAAATGACTTAAAAGCTAAACATAATATACATAGTAACTCCTTTATCCTAGTACAAAAATAGTGCCAGAAACTATATATTTGTTCAAATATATTGAAAAAGGTATAAGAATACAAATAGATATTAACAGTGGCTAGTGATGATTCATAAGGTTTTCTTAAACTGTAATAGAAATTTATATTTTCAACTATTTACACTGCTTTCAACGACATTTTTTAAGACATGTTTACACAGGCTTTTGAGAAACATACGGAAGGGTGAAGTGAGCTTTAATACTTTCTTCCTTGCTCCGTGTAGTGGAGCAGGTGTCCAAAACTGTGCACAATTTAGCAATCTAAAAGAACTCTTAGTAATATCTACCTGGCTAATCTATGGGAAAAAACTCTATAGAGTAGAATACATGACTCCTTACATAAGGTGTTCTTTAAGCTATCAACAGGTTAAATGATTCATACTTGTAAGAAAACAGGCTATTCACTGGTGGATTCTAGTACGTTCCAGTAAAGAAGGTCCTTGGGGGTGGTGGTAAGTGGAAGGTCCTTGGAAAACTGTATAATACATACGTTGTAGATGAAAATGAAAGTGATATCATGTACCCTGTATTTTCTTGTTCAATTTGTAAGATCAGAAGTTGGTAAGCCTCTTACTCAGCACTTTTTGCAGGCTGGGTTCCTTGAGGTCACAGCTCTGTCTCGGGCTGAGCACAGTGCCTGACATGTCACAAGGACTCAATAAAGGGTGGACTGTCACATGTCTGATACTAACTAATTAAATTTTACCACTTTATTTCAACTACAGTTGTTCACAGGAGAGGACAGCAAATACACCTTTTCCTCCTCTCATCTTAAAATCACTCTTGTAAACAGAACAGCACTGCTTGTGATGATCTATAAAGCATTGAGTAAAATCTGGTGAAAAACACAGAAAAATTGAAAATCCGATTGGAGTACGTCTAACATTTGTGCTCTATGTTAAAAATAAAGGCACTTTACTGCTAGGCAAGACTGTATCTGTGACCAGTTTCCTTCCAGAACCCAATATTTCCATACACTTTATCTCAGTACTCCTATCTAAGGAAACTATTCTCAACTAAGAAATCAGTTGTGACATCACTTTCCAGAGTTTGCACCTTGAAGGCAAGTTATTCAAAATCTCACACTCACTAGTGATCTGCATGAGAAACCAAATAAATGTACTGTCTTTTTTTTCTTTCAGTCTTTGAAACATAGGAAGTGACATGTGGGATTAGATACCATGCTCTATAGCCCAATATCCCACATGTGACAGTGGTCTCCAGGGCCCATTAGGGCTTACACAGTGGCTGCCTTCTGTGACATCCTTGAAGACAAAGGCTTTGCCCACACATTAACTCCTTTAATAGCACTTGTTCAGGCACACAGAGGTTAAGTGACTTACACAAGTTTACACAGGACTACAACTGACAAGGGCCAATCCTGTGAAAAATATAAGGCCGGGCAACTTTACAGACATCTTTTAACAACTCAGTAAAATAGTGGGCACTTTTTGGGCTGAAAATTGAAATTGAAATGGTATGTCATTCAGCTATACCCATGACAACTTTAATCTAGAAAAAGAATAACTTCTTACTAGCTATGGGTAATATAAATACAGAGTGGGGAAGGGAGGACTATAAATATATTTTTTCCAACTTGGGAAGATACTGGAAAAAAATATTCACATAAGAGCAAAAGCTCTGATTTGTGCCCATGTACCAGATAATCTAGATATGGAATTATTTCCCTAAAAATTAAAAATTATTTGAACCAACTAACTGGTCCTAAAGAAGTACTCTTTTTCTGTAAAAACTAAAACTTCTAACAATAGAGCAGACACAGCACTAACCAACTTCTTTTAATTGCTAAATTAGTAAAGTAAAATAAACCACCATGTAAAGTTAAACCAAACAATTCCTAATCTATGTACATCTTCTCGCTTGTGAAAATGACACACATACAAAATCTCCATATAGCTCAGTGACATATTAGATGGGTCTAAACAAACTATTAAGTATATGATTACAGATTTTAGCATAACTGCTAAATCACAATGCGTATGATAAAAAGGTTACTAAAGACTGCTCTTCTTTCAACAATTTTTCTACACTAAGGAATTATGTATGCATGCATAGTTGTATACCACTATATAGATATGTTATTTTAGTGACAGCCTGTGTAACTTACACACCAGTGCCACCAAGAGGCAACGTTGTAGATCTCACCTATATGACATCAAATAAAAATTGAATAACATCCTGAAAACACAAGTATTACGACAATTACACATATAGCAACAAACATTTGGTAACTTCCTAGACTAGCCTTTACCAGTAATAAATTAATGGCAATACAATTTATTTTGCTTTTTTTTTCTTTACCTGAATAGTAAGAATAAAGTCACATTATTTAAGATACACACTCAGAATTTTAAAAAACTTGATGGATATGTTGAATTTTAGGCAGTTTAGAGAAAAACACCAATATGGATGGGAAAAATATGTTTGGTAAAAGTTCTTTGAGGGTGCTGCACCATGTCCCCAAGAAATTCTCCACCCAATTTAGTGACTGAAACTCAGAAACGTTTTTTTGGCACGGGTGGTTAACAAATCACACAAACAGCTCTCTTCCTACTTTCCCTGAGTCCAAACATTAGCATATATTTGGAATAGATTTTCCTTTCCTGAACCAGTTGCTAGATTCACTATCTACTTCTCCAATAATGAATAAATTGGTATTTAGGGTACACACGATCAGTGGGAATCCACTCAAACGGGCTCAAATCTAAGACAATGTTAGCATTTTCTATATGTGCTAAAATTAAAATCTATGAGAAGTAAATATCAACAACTATATGGCTCAGGGTAAGCATTTAGTATACACACCCAAACTTCCGTGATACTGAGCTGACCAGTCCTATGAACTGAAAAAAGGGCAGTTTCTCAATTACAAACTCAGTACTCTTACGTTTCATTCAGGGCTAAGCTTTCTTACCTTCCTGCTCTCTCACTTTAATTTTTGACCCCAATAGCAGTATAGTCCTTTGCTGTTTATATAGTTAAAACTATTCTTTATACTTGCTCTGACAAAGAAAAATGATGATTCATTTACCTTTTATCTGCAGTCGTATCTCACCTCAAGTCAATGCTCCAATTATCATATTTTCCTCAGTTTTCTGTTGAGACCTAAACTGTTCACTCATAAACTATGGTTTGTAAGAAAAAGGATAAGGAAGTTATTTTAAAAAGGAAGTTCAATATTCAAAACACGGACTCTCAGAGAGGCTTCCAACAGAATATTTCTCTTCACTGAGACAGATACAGCCATTCCATTTCCGGATCACACCCCCAACCCTCCCTCATAAAGCCAGGGACCATGAAGTCCATGAAATCATTGTCTTCTAAGGCTTTCCCTGCTTTCCATCAGGCGGCGTATACTGAAATGACTTACAGGTAGTCTCTGGATAGATGTAAGTACTGAAATGAAAGAGTTCTCCCCTTCCTGCTCTCAAACAAAAACAGCAAATTGATTAAACAATACCTTTTCTTTACAGTACTGCCTTAGAGTACTTTCCAATTGTTGCAGAGTTTTGACTTTTGTTAAGGTAATACAACTGTTGACAAATACTATCCTTTCCCCGTAAAATCCACTAAGCCAGCGCTTTTCTCTAACCATGATGGTTTTAAATGTCGCAGAATACATTCAATTTGCTCCTAGACTATTTTTGAGAATGAAAAGATTCCAAACATTCTTTAGAAGATTGGTAATTCAGAAAACACAAAACCAATTATTTAAAATCCCCAAGCAAAAAACAAAAAAAACACAAACCCCCAAAACCCAAAAAACAAAACAACAAAAACCTACCTCAGTGCAAGAACTTAACTTGCACTTTGCAGTACACAAAGTATCACAGAGCTCTCATCTGTCTGCTAAGAGTGGGTGTTGCCGATAATCTCAGATCAGTGGCATAAAACAAATATACAGAAAATATGTAATAGTTCCCTAAAAACGTTTCATGCTGTGCTCCTAAAAGTTGTGCAAAAATAAAAATACAGCAGTGGCAAAGTATATACTAAATCTGTACAGTGTATAGCAAAATTAGACATCCTGCAGATACACCATCTGTAAACTTCAACTCCACTTAAATAGGCCACTCAGTTCCGCTTGGCCTGGCTGCTTTCCCCATTAATCAGCGTTTTCTCCTGCTGTTCTGCTAGGGCCTGCCATTTTTGCCTGTTCTTTCTGCAGCCATCCAGCAAAGGGAAGCAGTCCTCTGATACGTGAGTCAGAGCCTAAAGAAGAAAAAAGAAAGCAAACAACTAGAAGGCATCCAGGAAATAAGCCCTCTCCCCAGGCCTATTAGCAAAGAGCCACAATCTTACACTCATTTCATGAGCAGGCCCACTGTTGGGGTTTCCACAAGCTGAGTGAACAAACAGGCAGCTCATTTATGACTGATCTCTCCTCATCTATACTGACAAGTGGCATGTGCTGGGATAGAGCATACACATATATTCCAACATAATATTACTCAGTTATGCTTGAGACAGATCTGTATGGAATCTGCTCTGCAGGGAAACAATACATTTTGCTTTTTTTGTTGTACAGATGGCTCTCCCTAAGTGTGAGTGTACTGGGCACTGTTTAGTTTTCATTTTTTTCTATAAAATAGTTCTATACAATGTACTTAAACAGACCTGTATCCAAGATTATAATAAAGATTACTTTATAATTCTGCATGGTATTATTATTTACTAATTATACTGCAATACATATTTAGATATAAAAAAGTTCACTGCAGGAATAGAGAAATTCTGAAAATAACTTTAAATACCCAACAACAGGGTTGGATATACTAGTTCACTATTTTGCAGCCTTTACTTTTTTTTTTAAGATTTTATTTATTCATGAGAGACACGGAGAGAGAGGCAGAGACATAGCCAGAGGGAGAAGCAAGCTCCCTGCAAGGAGCCCAATGTGGGACTAGATATTGGATCCTGGGATCATGTCCTGGGCCAAAGGCAGATGCTCAACCACTGAGCCATCCAGGTGTCTCTAATTTGCAGCCTTTAAAAATATCATAGAAACACATATGGTATGGAAGAATACACATTATGATATATTATGAATTACAAAAAGCAAATTTGTTAAGTGAAAAAAAATGAAAATTTCATAAAACATATGCACTAATATATTAATAGTAGTTATCTGAATAGTGAAATTATAATTCCGTGATTTTCTACGAGAATATTATTTCTGTAATAAATAATAGTAAAGGTACGTAACAATATTACATAGAATTTAACAGTAGATTCAAATGAAGTAAATCCTTACACAGATACAAAACGTAGGATAAAACAGTTATGAATTGTGAAATGTCTGGATTAGAAGATTCTAGGGTTTCTTTGAGTCTTGACATTCTATTTAACCTTTAAAAATAAGGATAGTGTCTACTTTCTGTACTTTGGGCTTAAGCATCTAAACTAGCAAACTGGATGTTTTAGGAAGACCATCTCTACCTAAAAAATAAAAATCCCAAGCCAGCAAATGGGAACCTGTACTATTCTTCCAGCTACCTCCTTTACATCATTATAAAAATTTTAACGATATTAAAGCTACACTATACGGGATCCCTGGATGGCTCAGTGGTTTAGCGCCACCTTCAGGCCAGGGCATGATCCTAAAGACCCAGGATCGAGTCCCACATCAGGCTCCCTGCATGGAGCCTGCTTCTCCCTCTGCCTGTGTCTCTGCCTCTCTCTCTCTCTCTCAAATAAATAAATAAATAAATAAATAAATAAATAAATAAATAACTCTTTAAAAAAATAAAGCTACATTATACAATGAGAAAAAGAATGATTTTTTTCTTTATTTAGTCCTAAACTGAAAGAAAGATGCTAACATAGAGTATGCACAGTATCCCTCCTTAAGGTAACGTAGTTAATTCTTTTTAGTATTCCTACATCAGTTTGCTAGAGTCTAGCACAAAGTACACACTCAACAGATAGTTCTACATTGATGAATTAAAGTTTTTGAGAAAAATCAATATAAAACGTGTTCTTTATTCAATGCAAACAGTGTGATCATCAGGAAGGAAAAAAAAAAGAAAGAAAGAAAAGCCTAGTGTCAATTGCTTCAATTTACTTGAGGTTTTAATTCATAACACAGTCTAAGTTTAGCAAGTCTCGTGTTTTCATATAAATACCTCATATAGTTGCAAGCAGATGGCATCTATGAACCCAACTTGCATACTTGGGATTTTGTTTTTCTTCTCCCTGTTCATTAGATCCTGAAAACACAAAGAAACACATACACACACATACACACACAAACACAGAAACACACACACACACACACACACACAGATCTGCATTTACTTAAAGAACACAATGCAAGTAGGCTCCAAAAACATGCATCATGGGCAGGGTGAGAAAGGCCAGGTACTTGCCTATCTGTCTCCTTTGTGGGGAAGTTTCCTACACTCCCTGCCAGCCCTGTGCTCTGGAAGACCCTGATCCTTACTGCCTTGTTCATCCTGGCTGACTTTTCCCACACTACCTTGGAACTGATCTCTAAACTAGAGTCAGCCACTGACCTAGAGCTGACCACTGACATATATCTGGAGAACAGCTCTGAATTGTCTATTGATGTAAAATCAAACACCCTCAGTTTTGTGGAAGAAGCCACGGAGGCCACAGCTGATTGCAATTCAATTTATGCAGAGAGCTTTCTGAGTGACGATTATGCAGATGTCCCTCTGTTTATTCCCAGGAGGTCATGGCTGGAGCACCAGACAGCCCAGCACTGCCATGGGAAGAAATGAGTCTGTCTCAGTACTTGTTTAAAACGAAGCAGATTTCCCATTAGCTGTTATCATCACTCTGCTACCCACCACTTTCTAAAATGATTCTGAGCTTCTGAATGAGCCTGCCATTACATTAGAGGACACTGAGTAATTGTGAAAGACACAGGATGTGCCCAGTCGAGGCTAAAGAGCAGAGTGGATGGAGCTGTACACAGAGGGGGGTCATAACCATGTACCCATTAATATGGGCTCAATAAATGTCCATTTGAACTGAAAAAAAGATTCAAGGCTTCATTTTCAGGAAAAACTCGTTCTAAAAGCCAGAAATGGCTTGAGAACAATCTTTTTTTTTTTTGTCTGTGAGATCCATACTCTATGTATCAAAGACCTTAAAAAAATCTGTGCCCTTTAATATAGCAATTCTGGGAATTTATCCTAACAAGATGATGAAAACTGGCACAGAAACATTAGCAACAGACAAGTTTATCAAAGTGCTATTGGTCATAGTGAACACTGCAGACATTACAACAGAGGAAGCAGGGGAACTATGACTCCATCTACTTCATGTGATCATTATAAATAATACACACATGAACATCTGTTAGAATGGGAATTAGCTTATGATATTTAAATAGAAAAAACAAATTATAAAAAAGTAGGTACAGTATGATGCAAAGAATCTTTTTCTCTTATTTGCTTATGTTTTCTGTAATGAACATGTATAATTCTTTTCATAAGAAAATATGTTTTAAAAACTAAACTGAAAGAAATTGTGTTCCTCAGTAAAGATCCCATAGAAAATATAAGAAGTCTACACTAAGCAAGTCTATCTGTATAATTCCTACCACCAAGGTCTCATACTTACAGCAGGCTCTATGTTGAGTTCTTTTCTCTCTCTGTCTCCTTGGTCAAAAAATTCAGTTGCTACAAGTTCTGCTATCTGAAATAAATAACCAAATGAGTTTTGGCAATTAAAAGCGTGTAACTGTCAAATAGAGACTTTGAATAAAGATAATAAAGTCTATCAAAGCTAGCTTTCAACCACGTCAGTAAAATGATAATAAAGCAATAATGAGTACTAGAAATTATATTTTGTTTGCTTTTAATTATGTGCCTCATCACAAAGGCTAGAGCTTGTAACCTGTAATTAGGCAGAAAAAAAGCAACAGGTTATTTCAACTTCAGCAATCAATGGGGAAGAGGCAGTGTGTGCCCAACTGTACGCATCATCAATGAGATATTGGTTAAGCACCTGTTATACCACGGTGCCAATATAGGTGCATATATGGCACCTGACAGATATGCCTTTTAAGTTTATTTTAATCTACATGTTCCTCCTCTTTTCAAAATCTTTCCCTGTAATTTTTGTTGTTGTTGTTAAATAAACTGAGTTGTGTATCCTGCAGTTCCCCACTATCTGGATTTTGGCAATTGCTTCCCCATGATGTCATTTGACGTTCCTCATTTGACCTTCCTCTGTGCCCTGGATTTCCACACACTAATAAAATCTAGAGGCTGGATTAGATAAATTCTTTTCTTGGACTACTTCATAGGCAGTGCTGTGTACTTCCATCAAGAGCTATATAATGCCTGGCTGCCTCTCTTTTTGTGCTATTAGAGACCATGAGTGATCTTTGTCTAGATCTGCTAATTCAGGGGCTACAAAAAGCTGATATGCCAAGTGATCATTCCTTTTTATTAGTTGAAATACAATAAAAAGAAAGTTCCCACCATCAATTATTTAGTTACCCTAAAGCACAATTCATATAAGGAAAAGCAGGAGAACTGTTGGATTTTTCTACTTTAATTACCATTTGAAAAAAATAACTTTGGGTTCCTAAGCAACTTATCAAGGATAACTAGGGAAGGTTTCATTTTATTTTTATTATTGTTTTGAACTTTTAAATTTAAATATATTTAATGTATTTCAAACCTTAGTGATACTGAGATTGTCCATTTTGACCAGTGAGCTTAATAAGGTGGCTTCTCTGTCTTTTGTCAAAACCCTATGAGTCTTTGATAGCTTCTTTGCTTGCTGATATAATAAGATGTTCCAGGCTCATTTTGTACATTTCCTGCTTTACAGCTGCTATCAGCTATTTCTTTGTTGGAGCCCTTGTTCATTTAAACTGAGGTACTTAGAAACCCCAATATGAGCTCAATCATTACTACCAGGTTAAGTCATTATTCAGAGGACAGAGCCAGGACATACAACAGAAGTTCATACAACATTTCAACTACAACATTTCCACCCAACCTTATTCACCTTTATCTTTCTACATAAACTGATGATCCTGGCTGTCAACAATACCAATAGAATCTTTTATTTGCTTTTATTCCATATAATCTACAACAGTGATTGAATATTTGTACAAAATTACCACTAATACTAAGATTACTGAAAACAGCTTTAAAGGCTTTTTTTGGTAATTCCTTTTTGTTTTTAGGGTACATCCCACTGGAGATACATGATGAAATTACTGTTTTAATGTCACGTGGAATGAAATAGTTCCTTTTAGTGTGGTTTTGCAACCCCAAATCAGGTTTGTCTCATTTTACTTTCAAGGCTTAGGGTTACTTAGAATTCAACTTTACAATTTTATTTTTTTTAAGATTTTATTTATTTATTCATGACAGACACACACACACATACACACACAGAGGCAGAGACACAGGCAGAGGGAGAAGCAGGCTCCATGCAGGGAGCCCCACGTGGGACTCGATCCTGGGTGTCCAGGATCACACCCCAGGCTGAAGGTGGCGCTAAACCGCTGGGCCACCGGGGCTGCCCTCAACTTTATAATTTTAAAAACGATTTATGTGGTTCCAAAGTTAAATCTACACTAGTACATAGAACTCATTCTGTAAATGTACTATAAATTACTTAATCAGTACCCTACTGATGAATATTTGGGTTACTTCCAGTCTTTGTCCTTACCAATAGTAGAAAAGTGGACAGCCTTGTATAAAGGTCTTTTTATATTTTTTCCACTGTATCTTTGGGATAAGATGCCTAGAAGTAATGGTAAATGAATATGTGTATTTATAAACTTCCCAAGAGTTACAGTATTTTGCATTCCTTGTTTTCCCTCAACTTCCCCAACAGAGTAGATCATAAAACCTTTGGATTTTGCCAACTGGACAAGTAAGAAATGGTATCTCAATGTTGTTTTTCTGTGTGTGTGTGTGTGTGTGTGTGTGTGTTTTAAAAGATTTTATTGGGGCAGCCCCAGTGGCTCAGCGGTTTAGCACCACCTTCAGCCCAAGGCCTGATCCTGGAGACCCGGGATTGAGTCCCATGTCGGGCTCCCTGCATGGAGCCTGCTTCTCCCTCTGCCTGTGTTTCTGCCTCTGTCTCTCTCTATCTCGTCTCTCATGAATATATAAATAAAAGATTTTATTTATTTATTCATGAGAGACACAGAGAGAGAGAGGCAGAGAAAGAGGCAGGGGGAGAAGCAGGCTCCATACAGGGAGCCCGATATGGGACTCCAGGATCAACTGCTGAGCCACCCAGGGTCCCTCAATATTGTTTTTCTTTTAATGAAGTAGAATTTACATACTGTGAGTTGCACAGAACACGAGTTCAGTGTCTTGACAAATGCATATAACCATGTGACAAATACCCCATCCAAGACAGAGAATGCTTCTACCACCCTTAGGACCCTTCTCAGTCAATTCCTGCTCCTTCCTTCCTTCCTTCCTTCCCTCACAATCACTATTTCATTTCTTTCACCACAGATTAGTTTTGCCTAGTCTAGAACTCTATATAAATGAAATCACAGGACATATTATTTTGCTCTGTAGAGTGTTTCTGAGAATCCGTGTTGTTGCATGTATCAACGGTGAGTTTCTTTTTATTGTTGAGCAGGACTCCACTGTATAAGGAATATACTGCAGTATGTTTAGCTATCCTGCTGGTAGATGTTTGAGTTGTTTCTAGTTCTGATTACAGTAGCCACCCCTCATCCACAGTTTTGCTTTCCATGGTTTCAGTTACCAGAGGTTAACCACGGTCCAGAAGCAGATGATCCTCCATCTGATAGATGGTCAGAAAGTCAACAGTAGCCTAACGAACGCTACATCACAACACCTGTATCCTCCACCTTGCTACCTCTCAACTTTATTGTCTCCCATCGTCACAAGAAGGAGAGAGGGTGCAATATAATGAGAGAGAGACACCCCACATTCACATAACTTCTATTGCAGTATATTGTTATAATTGTTGTATTTTATTATTATTGTTCATCTCTTACTGTGCCTAATTTATAAATTAAACTTTATCATAGTTACGTATATAAGGAAAAAAACATAGTATATATAATGGCTCAGTCCTATCTGTGGTTTCAGGCATCCACTGGAGGTCTTGAACATGTCTGCACAGATAATCTACTCTATTAGGAATAAAGCTGTTATGAGATTCTATACAAGCTTTTTTGTGTCAGTGTAGTTTTATTTGCCTTTTTTCTTATGAATACAGTTCTGAGAACCTTGGCAGATGAGTAAGGCCCATTCACATTCCATCAACTTTTAGTTCAAATTTTTGGCTTATTTTTCTTTAGTGTTGCTGTCATTTTTTCTTCTCTATTTTTACAAGTTTTTAATATTAGGGGTATTAACTATCTATCAAATATAAGCTGCAAATATTTTTACCATTTTCTCATGGACTTTTACTTTGCTTATGGTGTCTTTTGCCATTGATTCTGCATGTTGAGCCATAGCTAGGAAAGTTTTCTCACTCCTAAGTTATAGAAGAATCCGCAGATGTTTTTATTTAGTACTTCTATGGTTTAATTCTCACATTGATCTCTATGCTTCATTTGGAATTTAAGTATGCAAAGTACATCCAATTTTGTCTTGCCATCTGGTTATGGAAGATGGGAAAGTCACCCTAAGATTATTTAGTAAAAAAGTCTCTCTTTCCCCCCAGTTATTTGAAATGCTATCTTTATTATATACTAAATGTTCTATGCAATTCTCAATGCTCTATTGTGTTCTGCTAGCCTGTCCCCAATAACAAACTATTTTAGTTATAGAGGCTTTATAATATTGCTTTTCATGTCTGGACCCCAACTTCACTGCTCTACCTTTTTTGGGGGATTTGATTAAGAAGAAAGGATAAATGAAAAAACAAATTATTCCCTCCTCCATTTTCTTCCCTATTTGGAAATGGACATATAGTTCCAATTATTATGGAGCAGGACAGTCTGTAAAGACTACCTTTCCCGAGTGCTTACAGAGTGTCAGCTTTGGCACGTGGAGGGTACATTTCATTTTTAAAACTTTTTTTAAAAGATTTTATTTATTTATTCATGAGAGACATACACACACACACACACACACACACACACAGAGAGAGAGAGAGAGAGAGAGAGGCAGAGACACAGGCAGAAGGAGAAGCAGGCTCCATGCAGGGAGGCTGACGTGGGACTTGATCCTGGGACTCCAGGATCACGCCCTGGACTGAAGGTGGCACTAGACTGCTGAGCCACTTGGGCTTCCCGGAGGGTACATTTCTGATCTCGTTTTCTCAGCATGTGAGATGAACCTGTCACTGGGCTCCATGACTATGCACCACAGAGCCCTGACCAGCAGCGGACTATCAACAGTCTTGGGTAGTGCATTTAGGATTAACAGCGCAGTTTCAAAAACCAAAACACAATATACACATTACTGTATGTACAGCTATCCCTTTTGTGAGCCGAGGCCCTTTACTGCCTCTGCAAAATGTTAGGACAGTTACTTATTTAGAGAGAAGGATATATGTCTAGCCTCCTAGCCATAGGCCCTGATCACATCCCTCCTGATACCTTATATCAACATTTCCTATATTTATGAGCCCCAAGAAATGCTTAAGTTCTACTCGTTAATGCCTACTTGGAGCTGAGGTATAGCTGGCTAGGCTAACTATAAAGAAGAAGAAAAATAATTTGCTTCTCCTATTTTTCAGGGTTATTAAAAAAATGTGCTAAAAAGATTCCTAAGTGAGGCAGAAGTAGTACTGGAATTAAAAGACTATCAACAGCTAGGTTTTTGCTGTGTTAATATAGATGTTCTCTTTCTTAATATAGCTTATATTAGTAAATGTTAAGGAATCTTCTAAAAAAGAAAACCTGTTTATGTCCAATTATCTGCTTTTAATGCTACTTAAAGATCAGATAAAAAAATTCCACAAATACTTTAGAAGCCACTTTTAGGAAAACAGACTTTTCTTACTTTGACCTTTTTTTTAAATTTTTATGTATTTATGATAGTCACACAGAGAGAGAGAGAGAGAGAGGCAGAGACATAGGCAGAGGGAGAAGCAGGCTCCATACAGGGAGCCTGATGTGGGACTCAATCCCGGAGGGGTCTCCAGGATCGTGCCCTGGGCCAAAGGCAGGCACTAAACCGCTGCGCCATCCAGGGATCCCTTACTTTGACCTTTTAATCCGTACTTTTACTGTCACCAAGCAACATACCCGTTGTTGAATAGGCCACGGTTTTGTAATGGCAGACAGGTCACAAGCTGTCATCAGCATCGCTCTGTTAAGGCAAAAAGAAGCCCAATGCTATGATTAACTTTTTATGCAAATATATACTCTCAGTAAATAGTTACAGGTAAAAAGGTTAAATTAAAGCCTCCTAAACTCTGAAGATGTCAGTTTACAAAGACCAAAGAAACAGAAACAATTTATATGGAAGTGTGGCTGACTCAGTGATAGCAGAGTGTCAACTCTTTTGGTTGCCCATTGAACTGGAATTGCCCTAAAATTGCCTCATTTAGCTCCAGATTGGCACAAGGAGAGAAATTATTAACCTCTGGGCAAAAACTTGCCTCCTGTTACTATTTTTTTCACCTTGGTAGTCCATTCTCAGTGAAGTAAGATGAAAACACACTGACTACTAATAATTAGCCACTGAAGGATAACATCAGATATCCTACTGATAAAAGTCCTAGGGGAGCAAGAATTATGGTGGGTCATCCTTTTTTTTTTTTTAATGTTTTATTTAAATTCAATTTACCAATATAGAATAACACCCAGTGCTCATCCGATCAAGTGCCCTCCTTAGTGCCTGCCACCCAGTTACTCCATGCCCCCACCCACCTCCCCTTTGGTAACCCTTTGTTTCCCAGAGTTAGGAGTCTCTTATGGTTTTTCTTTAATGGTGGGGTCATCCTAATGCTGACCTCAGCACATGTGAGAAGCTCTGACTTCCAAACAGTATCTGCCATTTCCCTTCAAGAGGGAAATGAGAGGATAGTGCTGTTTCATCTTTCTGTTGAGAGAAGTGGAAACCATGCTGGGCTGTAGAGTCAATGACAAAGTGCTCTAGAGCTCAACAGCATAATTGTATGAAAATGGTTCTGTCCTTCATGCAGTGTTTTCCCATGTTGGACCCAGATGTCTGTTTGTAATAATTTATCTGAAGGAACAGGTGGAAAGGCCATCACCGTAGTATAGAAACACTTGTGGTGAAGGACTGTATCCCTTGTCCCTGCAGGGAAACCCAACCTAAAAAAAAAAACAAAACGTTCTTCTTAACTACGTTAGGCAAAAAGAAGAGTGGTTTTCTGCTGCTACCCTACCTCTTCCACCACCTCTCTTGGAGAAGTGAGTGCAACAAAGATACTTTTAATCATGTTTAAACCCATTTTCATGAAGGATTTCAGTGCTTGCCAATATAAACCACTTGCCCCAAAGAAGGCTATGCATCCACAGAGGCTTCACTAAGATCTGAAAAACGAGGGGATCCCTGGGTGGCTCAGTGGTTTAGCTCCTGCCTTTGGCCCACCCAGGTTGTGGTCCTGGAGACCCGGGATTGAGTCCCACATCAGGCTCCCTGCATGGAGCCTGCTTCTCCCTCTGCCTATGTCTCTGCCTCTCTCTCTCTCTCCTCTCTCTCTCTCTCTCTCTGTCTCTCATGAATAAATAAATAAATAAAATCTTAAAAAAAAAGATCTGAAAAATGAGTGCACACAGGGACACTGACAACTCCAACTGCACTTCTCCGCTCAAGGTCCCTCGGGTAGGACGGAGCAGCAGGGACCTGTGCAGACTTGGAACTGCAGTTCGTTTATTTTTTTTGTTATTGGGATAAACTGTTCACTAACTATAGTAGCAGGTCTATACTTTTCCTTTTCTATTTTTTCTTTTTTGTTTTTTAAAAGACTTTTATTTTTAAGGAATCTCTACACCCAACATGGGGCTCGAACTCCTAGCCCTGAGATCAGGAGTCATGCTCTACCAAGTGAGCCAGCCAGGTGCCCCTTAAAGGTCTATACTTTTCTAAGCACTGTGATGAAAAACATTTTGAGGCTATGAAGTTAAGCATGATTACAGAACAGCCGGGCATTTGAGTATTGTCTCCTTAAAGTCTGCATCTTCATTTGCATGCTAAATGGTATCATTCCATTTAAAGAAATGCGAATTTCAGGGGCATCTGGGTGGCTCAGTTGGTTAAGAGGTTAAGCATCTGCCTTTGGCTCAGGTCTTTTTTTAAATTTTATTTATTTACTTACTTATTTTTTTTGGCTCAGGTCTTGATCCCAGGGTGCTAGGATAGAGCCCCACATTGGGCTCCCTGCTCAGTGGGGAGCCTGCTTCTTCCCCCTCTGCCCCTTCCCCCAGCTCAAATAAATAAAATCTTTATTTTCTCTCTCCCTCTCTCTCAAATAAATACAATCTTTAAATAAAAATGTAAAATTAAAATTGTAATAGCACTCCTTGGAATTCTATGTCATTCTTCTATTATTGACCACTTGTTCTTTGTTATCAATCCAGTTCTTGCCAAGGCAAAGGTACCAGTGAATGCTAACAGCAAAGGGGTGGTGTCTACAGCTGGAAGGGAGGGACAGGTGTACAGGGGAGTTAAATGGAAATCCTGCCTATCTGACTGTGCTATGCTACTATCACTCAAGAGAGGGAAACCCTTCACAACCATTCTCTTGCTCCCACAATCTTTGGGGTGCTATTTGCAGCTGTTCCATTCCAAAGAATCGGGAATATGAGCAAGGAGACCTTATAGCTTTGTATCAATATTCAACTGCCTTTTAAAGGTCCTTCTAGGACAAAGAAGTGATTTATTCACTTGCATTTGCAAATCCATTTCCTTTCAAATAAATATTCATATTCAGCCCTTTATATAACACTCTAGAGAATTCTGACAGCCTCGAAGATCATCACCCTGTGACAAATAACTGCAGTAAAATCTGATAATAGTAAAATTAATTGGGTAGCAAAACTTCAGCTTTAAGGACAGTAAACCTACTTACAAAAACAACTCTTTTTGATGAGGATCTTCCAAGTTGAATTGATTTTTTCTTATAAGTTCAAAAAATTCTCCTCGTCTCCTTGAAAATAAAGAAAAATATTTGGTAGTTATGATGAGTCCCCAGGCTCTTGTTTCTTTGGTTGACAGACTCACAGAGTAAATTTTTTGGAAAAAGATCTCTAATGGTTTTTTCCCCTCTTAAAATCCAATATAGAAATCATTTAAGGAACTAAAAATATCTCACTTTACTCTCTTCTTTCATTTTCTTTGGGTAAAACAATAAACTTCATCTAGTTTTTAACTATGAATCACAAATAATAATAGTAATTTCAATTCTTAACATGATTTTAAGAAAATGAAACAATAGGAGTTAAAAATTTGATGCCAAGAATGACTTAAGAAATTTTAAGTGTATGGCATAATCAGATTTATATGGCTTCAGTTTAATTTCATTTATCTTATATATTATGGTATAGGGTAAAAACTTTATGTTCATAATAATTATTTTATGTCAGTATAAAATGGTGAAGGCTTTTTGAAGCAGTGACTTTGGGTGTACACTAATATTCACTAGTGTACATACAGTGTGCAGTGAATACCTCCTATGCACCCAGCACTGTTAAGAATCTTGGGAAGTTATTAAGACATGAGTCCTTTTCAAAATCTAGTCGGATGGGCAGCCCGGGTGGCTCAGTGGTTTAGCGCCGCCTTCAGCCCAGGAAGTGATTCTGAAGAGCTGGGATCGAGTCCCACATCAGGCTCCCTGCATGGAGCCTGCTTCTCCCTCTGCCTGTGTCTCTGCCTCTTTCTGTGTCTCTCATGAATAAATAAATAAAATCTTTAAAAATATATAAAATAAAATCTAGTTGGAGACACAAAACAAATGTAGAAAAACTTATCTAATAAAATTGACTCAAAAAAAAATTGACTATGTGATCTGAGTACCAAAAATGAAAAAATACATTTGTAAGGGTTCAGAGGTGAGACCTGAGTGGCCTGGAAAGGCTGGAAGTCTTTGTGGTTACAGGTATTTTTAAATTCTTAGTAACTTGATAATCTTTATTCTGCAATCATTTTAAATAAACTAAGGTTTGCCGCTTTTTCTTTTATCCTAATTATAAAGTGCTCCAAAATCCAACGATGCGGACACTTTTAGATGCAGTTACTTTTAGATGTATAATAGTGAATATCTGGTATGTGTTTTTGTGTGTCTATTCTATTTGTTTTTACTTCTCCTAAGAGTGGTTGAAGCCATGGATGTGACTCTCTGTGCAGAGGGAGAGAGGGCTGCGCTTCAGGGAAATCCCATGAGTGCCACCAGCAGACTTGCCTCACTCCTATACATGTAGCAACAACCTGGTTTGTGTGTGGGAAGCTAATGCCTCCCCAAATGCAGCAAAGTCTCTTCTTGATTTTAGAAAGGCAGTTTAGTTACAGGCAAATGCATACATGCATGATAAATACTACTCTAATGCACACTTTAATTTTTTGAGTCAGTAGCTTCACTAATTAAAGTTCTACATTAATATTCTTCTGCCAAAATCAAATAAAAAGAAACAAGAGTTATTTGTCTTGCACTTACTTAGCTCCTTCTCCTGCCCACCTAGGCTTAGATGACAGCATGGAGGGACTGTCACGTGGTCAGAAGCTGGGGGAGTAAAGAAAAGGAGGCAAAGCGAACGGGCTCTCAATCTTTAGGTTGGACAACCTAGTTTGGGATGACGTTAGGATGGTTATGTACTTGGTACCTAGCTTCAGAGACATAGCAGTAGATAAACAGCACAAATAATTCTGTATTCTGTAACTGCTAGCATTAAGTAATAAGTCAAAGGAGTACGCTTTCCGGGCTTCCTTTAAGAAACTGCTCCATTTGAAAAACAAGATATTTGACTTGCCAGGACATTTGTCTTTATAATCTAAAAATTTTCCAATATGCATTTTAAAAGTTTGAAACAATGCAAACACTTCCAAGACCTATTTATCTCAGAATATTTCTTAAAACTTACTTAATGTACAATGCTAGGTCTGTGGCTAAAATAGCTTGCTTGATTATTTTCAGCGTGGTCTTATATTCTTCAATGGAGAGGCCACTGAGAATCTGATTGCCCTTTATAAAAAAGAAAACCATCATTAGCACTCCACTTGGAGAAGCTGCTGACAAGAACAAAATCTGAAGTTACAGTGACATATCTTAAACACACACCTTGTATTCTGAGCTCATGAATACAGAGGACACCTGCTTACTTGGAATAAATGCCATGAAATGATGTTTGCCCTCTATGCTTCCACCCCTACCACCTCGTCTGATAAGAAAGACAGCTTCATAACGGTACATCTGCCTACACAAACATGTTTTTCCAAAACTTAAACTCCTTTGTCCAGACCTAAAATCTAATAACTACTATATATCTTTGTCCTTTGGACAGGTTAATTGCTATAATGTACAGCAAGAGAAACTTTGAAAAATCAAAACCATCTTAATGGACATGAAGAGTAGAGTAGTGAAACTTTTAAACAAAATGGTTATAAAGAAATCAATTCTCTATGGATTTTGTAATAAATTCAGTAACTTTTTTTTTGGATGCAAATTTATATAATTTTAATTTATTCAATACTGAGAACAGTGTGTATTCTTTAGTAGGAGTATGCCAATACGGATGGGTTACAGGGTGTGGGCCAAAGGTGTGTTTACTGGTGATAAAAAGCAAGGATGGGTTAAAACATCTATAAAAAATATTGAAAAGGTGATAAATTCAGCTGTAAACAATGAAAAATTTTTGCTATATAACCATTTAAAAAAGTTTCTTGTCTATAATTTAAAGCATAGTGGCTCTCTCATCTTGAACTACGGAAAACATCCCTTGGAGACTCAGCATATATTCAAAACAACATCTGCAAATTAAGTCAGATGTGCTTCCTAAATCTCAGGGCCAATAAAAAACCCCAGAGGTGTAGGAATGAGATCTGGAGGCAAAGGATTTCTTCTGAAGATAGGGACACTGCTGTGTGTGGTGTGCCAGGGCCAAGACACTAAGTTCGAGAATAACTAGATGCCAACATTGTGGCATATATCTAATTAATGAATCCATGATTACAACCATAAACATTGTTTTTAAGTATGAAATCATTTTAGGTTCTAGACCAGAAAGAAAACTATTTAGAAAAAAAACTCTTGATACTTATATTTATTTTAAAATAGAACAATTTCAAGTGGAAAATGAAAGAAAAAGTTACTACTCTGTGGGATGACTTGCAATCTCCAAGTTTTGGAGGCATGGGGTTGATTTCAGTCCTGTCCTTTTCAAGGACCACAAAGAGGGCTAAAGAACCTTAGCAGGGGGCACCTGGGTGGCTCAGCGTTAAGCATCTGCCTTTGGCTCAGGGCGTGATCCCGGGGTCCTGGGATAGAGCCCTGCATTGGGCTCCCTGCAGGGAGCCTGCTTCTCTTTCTGCCTATGTCTCTGCCTCTCTCTGTGTGTGTCTCTCATAAATAAATAAAATTTTAAAAAAGAAAAAAATAAAGAACCTTAGCTTTAGAAAGGAGGTGAAAGTGAGCAACCCAATTTTCAGGAGCTGAGGAAGGAGCCATAAATAAACCAGACAGAGGTGATCATTCACATTAAAGAAATATCTAGTAGAAAACCCTCACAAATGAAGGCACTTGGCAGGGATCATGAACTTACCCACAAGAAAATAACTTGGTTTAAACACCTACCAGGCACAAAGAGTAAGAAACCCCTCACAGTACCTGTCTGTTGAGAATGTTCGTGTCCCTCTTCTTACCACCTATTCCCTACTCCCAAAGTCTGGAGAGGTAGGAAACTACATGGGGGTTTAGGAATGAGGAAGGAGATTAAAAAAAAAAAAAAAAAAAAAGGTAGGGATGAAAGAAGCCAACCAGAGCAGTAAGTGGAGAACCTGAAACTTTAAACGAAGTTTAGACTTTGGACTATTTTACAAGACTGGACATTTTGGTTTCTAATTGAGAATTGTATACTGTATTTTGGGACTTAAAGTAATTAGAAGGCTTCTACTTAAAAAGAATGACCAGAAAATGGGGCACCTGGCTGGCTCAGTTGGTTGAGCATCTGACTCTTGATTTCAACTCAGGTCATGATCTTGGGGTCATGGGATTGAGCCCTGTGTCAGGCTAGCGTTGGGCATGGAATCCACTTAAGATTCTCCCTCTCCCTCTCTCTTTGTCCTCTCCCCCCATTTGCACATATGTGCTTGCTCTCAAAAAAAAAAAAAAAAAAAAAGACCAGAAAACTCATGGGACTCCCAAATTTCTAGGGCTCAGAGAAGAACTAGCTACACTGGGTAAACATAAAAAGATGGAGGTAAAATTGCTTTAAGAGTATATACCATGCATTGTGTTTGTTCCACATAAGTTGTAGTCTTCACTTTTTTCCTATTATAAAGGTAATACATGCATTTAGTAGACAGTGTGAATAATGAACAAATCAAAATAAGAACATAAGAAGTATTAATAATTTAACTAGACAAAGACCACCTTTGTTGATGTTTTGGTATACATTATTTTATTTTCCTTAACATAAATTAGCATAGCATATGCTTTTTTACATTGATAAATACTCATTTCACCAAACTGTTGAGTAGCTTTATTCCTTAACATAACAGTTTGTTAGTGGTCAGAAGATTCAATAAAAAGAGGAACAGGCATGGTTTTGTGAAAGCAAACTTTTGAGAGCTGTATAAACCACTTCATTTGACCAAAAAAAAAAAAAAAAAAAAAAAAAAGAATTAACTGAGAGCCATAAAATACTAGTTTTGCTTGTTTCTAGTTTGCAAAAACCAAACAGAGGTGAGTAACCAGATATCCTTTATCAGGCAACACTTAGACAGTCTTGGTTGTCTAGAGAAATGAGGCTAGGAAGATCGCAAATGTTTTGGCTTTGCCTTCCTTACCCAAAAAGGAATAAAGCATGCTCAAGAATTTATGATGCTGGGAATAAATCCAAAATTTAAAAATAAAACTGAATTTATAAAGCTCCCTTTTAAAATTCCACAACCATAAAGTAGGTACTTACTGGACTATTAAGAATCATCAGGCACTGGTCAAAATGATGATGCTCCATGATTGAATGGCAGTAGAGTTGAGCAAGTGGGTGTTCACTTCTGAAAAATATTTTGTTGAAGAGAGAAAAACAGTTTAAAAATGACCAATTTCCCCCCAATATGTCAGTTATTAATGTCTTCTTCATACCGGTTAATAAAAAAACGGGCTACTGCACAAAATTAATCAAACTAACAATCCTTTTGCTGGGGAAAAAAGTGAGTTAATCTCTGGGAAATAAAGAGTCAAACTATTTTCAAATACCTGTGTGATCAGTGCCAGTTCTAAGTATAAACAACTTCACTGGTTTTAATACTGATAAAATAGTAAATTGGAAGAAGGACAAAAGACTAATTTCTTGAGACATGAAAAAAAAATCTCTGAAATACCTGTACCAATGAGATTTTTCAGTTTCAAAACTGCAATTTAAAACCTGGAACAAATTTCAGTGCTAGTCTTTCCACTGAAATAAGGCTGGAGGTCAGTATATTCACACGTGCCTACATATCCAAAAACAGCAGACTGAGATGGAATTATCAGGTTCAATTTTGGAAGGCACAGAAAAGGGGCAGGGCTGGTGCACGCCTCCCTTTGAAGGGAAGGAGGAGACAACTGTGTTGGGACACATGCCCCTTGTGGGATCCAGGTTATTTCAGTATGGGATCTCCTGCAAGCTCTTTAATTTGAGCTTGGGGGAAACGGTGGGGACCATTTGGCTGGGTGAAGGGGGTGGGAAGGATAATTACACTCAGTTCATTATATGGAACATGCAGTCACAAATTGAGATCTAAAGCATGACACACACAGCCCTCTGCCTCATACTTATGATCCTTCACGTGTGAATACGAAGCACAATTTTCACCATTTTTTCTTGAAAAGAAAAAGTCAGAGGTCCTGAAAGTCTCTGTTTCTAAAATTTATAGGACAGGGGTTTATGAATTGTAAAGTACAAGTAAGTGTTGGAGAACACAGTTGACTTTGTTATTTCTTCATGCTACTATATGAATCATTAATTTACTTTGCATTTAACTTGAAGATAGAGAAGCTGCCCAAGAGGGAAGGAATAGAACACAGGAAGGAAATGAGCGGAGTAAGAGTAGCTTAAGGGAAAACCAAATCAATAAAAGGGAAATAAACCTAAGAGAGTGGGCAGTCGTCTATTCTTGTTTAATCTTCCACCAATCCTGCTGACTCCCAAACCTCCATTTTTGGTGCTGTTGTAACCTTTCCCAAGTTAGCTCCTGCCTGCCTGCCTGCCAGCCTTGCTCCTTCCACGTGCAGGGAGTTGTACAATGGACCAGATGCTGTGCTCACCATCGGATGATGGGACACAATGGAGGGAGTCAAATGAGCAGAGTTATAAAAAAACACACACATAAATTTGTTGGAGACTGCTGGAAGCTAGGTAGGAGGCCACTGGGAAGCTAGCAGTCCTAGTTCTAGTTACGTGGGTACGAGACAGCCGGGGCTAGGGTCACAGACTCCCGCACAAGCAGCAGCAGAGTTGTCTGAAAGCTCCGTAGAGGTAGGAGTTGGCAATGAATCCCGATGCTGGGGCCCAGCCGGGCTCTTCCTGGGGGAGAGTATGAATGCCAAGTTCCTACCTTGTCCTTTACTGACGTTGGAAAAAAGGGAGAAGACAATTAGGGTGGGAGGTGAAGGAGGGGAAGAGGTCTAGTTGAGGTCGGGACCTGCAGACTTCAAGGTGCCTGAGGTCCACCAATGGATATAAACATCTGTGCTTGGCTCTGGGCTGGGGGTGTAGAGCCGGAGCACTTCACCCTGCAGGTGGTTAGTAATCCGGGCCACGGGAGTAGATGAGGCGACACTGAATAATGGAGGGCCTGAGTTAAAAAGAATGCTGGCCTCCCAGGCAGCCCGGGTGGCCCAGCAGTTTAGCGCCACCTTCAGTCCAGGGCGTGATGATGGAGACCCAGGATCGAGTCCCACGTGGGGATCCCTGCAGGGAGCCTGCTTCTCCCTCTGCCTGTGTCTCTGCCCCTCTTTCTCTCTGTTTGTGTGTCTCTCATGAATAAATAAAATCTTATAAATAAAATAATAAAAAAAAAGAACGCTGGCCTTCCTTCTGAATTCTGGCTTGTGTTCTGTGCTCTTCTTGACTTTGGCCAGAGCCTTTTCTTGCCATTCAGACTGGCCTTGCTAAGGTCAACCTCAAAGCAACAACCACAGCCTTCCTCATTCCCTCCACTTAGATAAGGAAAAGCTTCTAGAGTACCTGTTTCTTTCCAATGAGATGTAAGAAACTCAAGGATATACAGTATTAGTTTAATATCAATTTTGCTCCACCAGCTGTTAGCTGTTCGGACATCTATTACCTTGTTAGACTGTAAACCTCTTGAGTTTGGTCACATCTGTTTCTCCTAATGATAATAATTACCATTTGCTGAGAACCTCCAACATGTCAGGCACTGTGTAAGTAGTTTATGTTCAATTTTTGTTTCATATGGGACACTTCCACTCACCACACAGAAAGCTGCAGCACCACCTCTGACTCCAGCCACTGCTGTAGTGGCCAGTTCCGTGCGTGACTTAACGGGCCCACCTGCTGAGCCTGCGCTACGGAGGAGCTGAGGCCCAAGGAGGTTGTCTCTGCTCAGTGGGGCACGGCAGCTTGTGGCTGGCTGGCTGTCCCCCCTCGGCCCCGTCCATTTATGCACAGTTCTGGGTCTCATTTCCCACGACCTCTCAAAAGCACCTGGCAGGACTGAGCACCAGCTGCCCATCCGAGTGGACGGCTGGTAGCTCACCTTCTCCTTGGCTTCTCCTTCTTTCAGGTCTTCACTCACAGGCCTGCACTCCAGCTCCCCGGGGATCACAGGCACAAATGTGTGCACCCCAGCGTGTGTCTCAGGCTGTGCCCCCCGGGGAGCCCCAGGCTGAGGCTTCTCTCAGACTGGCATTTCAGCATTTATTCTTTAGCATTTGGCATTTATTCTTTAGACAACCAAGAGTTCGGAGAGATGATCTAACTTGCTCAAGGTCAAAATAAATGGCAGAGCCGGGATTCAAACGCATCCTCTCACCACATCATGCTGGCTCACACCGCCCCGGCACTTTGCACACAGCAGCCACTTACTGACATACTTAGAAGCTGGACCAGAAATGCCATTAGGCAGATACGACACAAACTTGTTTAAACTTTCGAGCACATATTACATTTTTAGACAATGCAGAAAGGACTGTTTCACATTACAAAAACTTCTTGGGTTGTGGGATAGATGAATGCAAATTATGTGTGTTTGCCTTTGCTTACATTCTAAAAATATGATCTGTGAATCAATAAAAGGGTGACAAATGCCCAAGGTTTCCTGTTTACAAAAATATTCATGGACAGCAATGTATTCTACATTCCATTGCTTTTTACTCCTTCAAACATGAGACATAAAGAACATGTTGCTTCTTTGTATGAGATCCTGTCACGAGGACCCATCTGAGCCACTACTGCCACCGAGCTTTATTCCCACGCTGATGTCAACAAGCAGCATGGACAGAACGCCCTTCCTGTATTTTCCTCTTGTCCTACAGTCGTTTGTCCATCTCCTCGAGTGGCGTTAGGATGCCAGTGCCCAATCAGAACATTCTAAAAACAGAAAGCCTTAGAAATCGATAGAAATGTATGCTCTGTGAGAAGAACAATGCCTGCTGCCCCTGCTGCTTTACAGACTCTCAACAACCATCCTTGATTTTGCTTCTCATCCATATATATTACTCTTGGGCTCGGCTCTCTCAACTACCTATTATAAGCCATGTCAACCCCACTGACTTCTTTACTTCCCAGTTTCTCTTCAAATGATCACTGTGTATTCCAGCAGTCAGGGGCTATTTTACCTTTGCATTCTCTGCCATCAAATTAGATGCCACAGATGTTCAAGCTGATGATTCATTTGGCCTTTTGACCCTAGTTCTTTGAACGCCTTGACTCTACTGAGTGTCTCTTCTCACGTCAACAATACATACGTCTTTCTTTGTTCCACAGCTACTAGGTGCTGCTAGACACAGTATTTTTGCTGTCCCAACATGGGACAAAGCAAGATCTTGAATTCCTGTATGTCCTTAACAGCATCCCCCCTTTGAAAAGGCTAAAAGCTGGAGAGCATTTACTCTGTGCAGGGTACTGTTACAAGTTCTTTACTTTTATTTATACTCCTTAATCCTTGTCAACAAAACAAAACAAACAAAACAAACTACAAGACAGGTACTGTCATTATTCCATTACACAGAGAAGGAAATATGGACAGGGATGTTAAATGACTCGTTCAAGGTCAGATGGTAAGGGGAGGAGTCAGTATTTGCTTTTGCACCCAGGCATCTGGCTCGAGTTGGCCCTTAACCACCGTAACTGTCGTGGCCACTGTGGGGCGGCCTGAGGACTAACTGAACTCATATATATAAATTACTAAGAGGAGCTCCCAATGCCACATGGCAAGGGCCATATTAAGTGTTAACTTCTATTATTATTTTTATTAGCTGGTGACATTAGGACTCCTTGAACTTGCACTTTTTGCATACTGAGAGACTCCAGTAGTGTCTCAGGCCCTCCATCCTCAGTGGGAATGATCTCCTTCCTGACTAATACAGACTATGCCCAGCTGAACTTTACAAACTGTGATTCCTGTGCTGTCTTTACTGCCCTGCTGTGGCCTTCAGAGCATGCTGACAGTCCATTGCCACCATGCCAGCCCAGGTCTCCAGCTCACTTCTGTTTCTCTGACAGAGTGAATACCAGGGTACAAATGCAGGCCTGAGATACACGATGGATTATAGTTACCAGGAAGTTCTTTCATTCTGATTTTATGGAAACTTAATCTTGGAAAAAAAAAAAAAAACCTATTCCTTTGATCATTTTACCTCCTCTAACTCCCAACTCATTTATTATTTTCTCCTCATTGCCAACACTCCTTTCCCTCTGTCCTTCTTGTGCCTTCCTCCCTAAATACATACGCATGCATGTGTAGGTCCCATTTCTTCCATTTTCATAAGTGGCCCCACTGCTGTTCCAGTTTCTTGGGCCAGGAGGCAGGATTTCCCCCTTCCTTCAGGCATATAACCATCTGTTTAATATTAAATGGAAAGACCTTTCTTCTTCCATCTCTTCCTCACTGTGGCCAGTAGGTGATGGTCACCATGACTCTGGCTTGCTGTAGCAGCCTCTGAGCTGCACTCTGAGGTTCTAGTTCTGATCCATTACAGCCCGTGTCTGACTTTTCAGGCTCTCCTTCCCAAGCAAGGTCTTTACTGCCCACTGCAGTGGCTCCTTGTTTCGTCACTCTACCGCATCTCAAGTATACTGCTTGGTTTTATAGCTCTCTCTCCAAGGGGCCTATAACTTCTACTTGATCATCCTCTTACTCCCCATCCCTTGTCGGTGAGCCTCCTGACTGCACAGGCCATGATCGGTGTCCCATGGGAATACCCCCCACCTCACAGTGTTTCTGGGATATCTTTGTCTTCTATCCTTTCCGATTCTGACCCACTTCCTAGGATCTCACTTCTCCCATGAACAGTGGAGATGGACAGCACCAGTCTTAACCAATCTCCTCTGCCGAACGCTTACAATCAATCCCCATTACTAAACAACTCAGGATTTACTAGGGGCTTTCTTGTGTTGATCACCACTGTTTCATGAGACTATGGTAATTACTTACAACAGGAACCACATTTCATGCTTTATAGCTCTCTTTCGGCCTAACAAAGTGCCAGGCCCTGGTAATTGCCCATTAGCCAGCTGCCTAAAATGTAGGATACTTTCACTCTATTATTTTATAAAATGTCAGACTTGAATCTAACCAGATAAATGCATCCACAACAGTCTTCTTATATTGACTGCAGGCCCAATCCAAGAGGTTTCTTTACAGGAGCTGAGTGTTACACTGTGCTCTCTCTAGTAGATGTCTGTACTTTGTCATTTTGTTCCTACTATTCTTTTTTTAAAATAATAATTTAATATCTTTCTCTTACCCACCCAAATGGGAGAAGAAAGTATAGCATTGAACTCTTCCCACTGGCACACCTGTAGTACTCCTCATAATGGCAGTTTTCCTAATCAAGTAAGCCATCAAAGAACTAAATAATGGCAGCACCTGGGTGGCTCAGTCGGTTAAGCATCTGCCTTTAGGTCAGGTCATGATCCCAGGGTCCTGGGACCAAGCTCTGCACTGGGCTCCCTACTGAGCAGGGAGCCTGCTCTTCCCTCTCCTCCTTCCCCTGCTCGTGCTCTCTCTTTCTCTCTGTCAAATAAATGAAATCTTTTTCCAAAAACAACAACAACAACAAACAAAAAAACAAATAATGAGTCAAAACATAATTTCTTGTACATCTTACTTCAAAACATAATTTCTTGTACATCTTACTTCAAATTAATTTTCTGACAAGATGTTCAAGAGGAATGAATGACAGGAGAGTTCAGTTTCTAATTTTGCTACCACATGAGTGCTTTTCATCTTTTTGATATATTAGTTTTATTTCTGTGCCTTCTTCTATTGTGATAGTTTTCTTCATGTAGTGTTGGAATACTGACGAGATTGGACACTGTATACCTTTTTACAAGTTAGCTCCTTATATGGGAATGTTTATGGTACTCTTATTCCCCCAAGAGTCCCCTGGTTAAGAAAGTCCTCCTGAGGTATCACTCATTTACCACTAAGGAAAGAAAAAAAAAGAAACATCCGGGATCCTGGGTGGCGCAGCAGTTTGGCGCCTGCCTTTGGCCCAGGGCGCGATCCTGGAGACCCGGGATCAAATCCCACGTTGGGCTCCCGGTGCATGGAGCCTGCTTCTCCCTCTGCCTGTGTCTCTGCCTCTCTCTCTCTCTCTCTCTGTGTGACTATCATAAATAAATAAAAATTAAAAAAAAAAAAAAAGAAACATCCCTGGAAAATTCTTCATTTCTTCTATTCAAACCACAGAGATGTAGGAAGAAATAAAAATCTCTGAAACTCCTTTAACTTTTTTTCTTGAAGTTATTCTTACTTGGTGGAAGTCTGCTTTGTGGTGTGTATGAAGGCAAGATTCTGCAGTCTATGAATTTTTCCCAGGACTTTTTTTTTTTTAAGAGAAGATGACGTTTCACCAGATGTTTTTCTGGGTAATTATTTTTAAATAAACAAAGGAAAAAAATAGCTGAGTCTCTAAAGCAAGGCAACATGGCATCTTAGAGCAAACCATACACCAATAATATGTTCAGATTTGAGGTATGAGGGAACATAGCATTGCTGGCTTGGATCTTTAGGCTATGCTCGACCCTCGCTATGTATCTTTTTGTGTGGTTGTTCCCTATCATAATTACTCCCGGGTCAACATGAGGCTCCAGAGCATGATCATGCGACAGAGGACACAGGACAGACATGTGATCCAGTCTGTTCTCCAAAACGTTTCCTCTTTAAGTTTAGATCTTAGGAAAGAGCCAGTCTCTGACACTCAGGCAAGAGCTTGATATCTTTTCCCATCAAAGGTCAGCAAAGGACACGGTGGCTGCATCACTACAATTCTTTTTACAAGAAGTTTTCCATTTAATTAGATAAAGGGAATCTGAAATTCCTTCAAGATATCAGACATCTGGAATTTCCTTAAGAGATCTATCCATTAGTTGCATCACTTGCATACTTTAAAGATTTTTTTTATTTTAATTTTTATTTATGATAGTCACACGGGGAGAGAGAGAGAGGCAGAGACACAGGCAGAGGGAGAAGCAGGCTCCATGCACCGGGAGCCTGACGTGGAATTCGATCCCGGGTCTCCAGGATCACGCCCTGGGCCAAAGGCAGGCGCCAAACCGCTGTGCCACCCAGGGATCCCCACTTGCATACTTTAAGAAAGTGCTCAGTAGTAAGAGATTTTGCCATTAAGATGTAGGCTTTCCAACTAAATTGCTACAAGTAAATAAACATGTGACAGTGGCTTAGAAATCTCATGAAAAGTGATGTCACCTTTATCCTCTCATTTGTCATCGCAAATGTCACTTTAGGATGGCCCGAAAAGGAGCCTGAAACACTTGTCTCAAGAGTCAGTATCTATTCTCAAGATCAGTCAAAAAGCAGACTTCTGGTGCTGATAGGACTATCACTAGCATCTGCTGCTAAGACTTAGCGCTTAAGTATGCACTTCACATTCTACCTGGTATTGGTATGTGTTATTTTTTAAAACTTACATCAACCCTATGAGGTAGGTAATATTATCTCCATTTTACAGAGCAGGAAATTGAAGCCTAGAGAAATAAGTTCCCTTGCCCAAGGTCATACGGGAGCTAACTGTGTGCCAAAGGTAGGGTTTGAGTCTCATCTGACTGCAGGCCCAAACTTGCCAACACTGCACTCCCCTGTCTTCCCTAAGACCAAAAGCCTCCTTCTACTGAGTTATTCCTAAGTACTTAGGATCAAGCTAAGCACTTTTCAAATATTATCTCCTCTATTTCAGGGTAAAATTTTACTTTTTTGAACTAGGTTTTTTTTTTTTTTAAGACTTTATTTATTTGAGAGAGAGAGAAAGAGAGAGAGAGAAGCAGACTCCCCACTGAGCAGGGAGCCCGAGGGGCTGGGTGAGGGGGCTTGATCCCAGGACGCTGATATCTTGATGGATCTGAAGGCAGATGCTTAACCCACTCAGCCACCCAGGCACCCCCTGAGCTAGTCTTAATTGTTTTCTAATGAAGCGCTGAGTATACATAAACTAAAGCAAAACTCTTGGTAATTATCTAGTGAAATTAGATTCTCAACATAAAGATTCTTTTGAACTTCAGGCCAGAAATGTTATCAATCCAATATTGGATTTGGATTATTTTTTTTCCCATTTCCCTTAAATAAAACCAGAGTATGTTATGGGCCCTTGATCAATTGAAATTTGGTACCATCAAATTTTGCTGTGGCTTTTACCTTAAAAAAGATAGCCCTACAATTGAAAAGAAACATTTTCTTCTCTAGCTGGGGAAAACCTGCCTTACCGCTGTATGTAAGAGTTATTCACACCACGGTGGTCCAAGTCGTGGCTGAGAGCAGCAATCAGCAGGGCAAGTATCTCCAGGTCAGTCAGCTTGTTCTGTGTGACCAAAGAAGTCAGAGGAAAGAAAGAGAAAGACAATTTGGTAAAGTTCATTATCCTACCTCTTTTCATCAATCACGTATTTGTTTTTCTGAGTGTTTTTCACATGGGATTCTTTACAGTCACAGAGGACTCCTGCTAGAATCCTACTCTGCGGGGAACCAGCTGTACTCTGTCTTCAGGGTGGGATTATTAGAAACATCATTTATCAACAGAGAAGGTTGAAATGCCTCTAACAATCAGTAATCTGTCCACCTCCTGTAAAGAGCATTAACTTTTCATGATTCTCTCTATACATACGTGGAATCATCAAACTAAACTTTAAATAATTGCTATCTCTCTGCCTTCTAACTCCCTGAAGATTCTGCTGCCCTCACTCCCTGCTGTTAGTTGTTAGATCCTTCAGGAACACAAACAATATGAGCAGTAAGCAAAACGACAAAAAAAAAAAAGAGGATTAGGAATGAAAAAATCTGCCTTTAAAAAGTTGCACAATATATTCCAAGGCCAACCATAGTTATTTTTGTCACATCTGCCATTTGTATTATTTGTACTACTGGTCTCCTTTATCAGTAAGAAAACAAGTTGAAATCATGATCAGCTCCACTCTGCGGGAACCCTCAACGTTCTATGCAGTATGTCTACAACGTTAGACAAAATCACCATTTTGTTATTCTTCATAAAAAAAGCAAGGATAGTCTTCAGCAGTATAATCCTGGTGACCTTTCTATAGCCCAAAATAAGTTTATCCTATTTTTATAAATGTTTGCTATGGCAGGAAAATACTACTATGGTATTTCATATGGATTCGTGGACAACAATCCCTTCTTTTAGCTCTAGCCAGTTAAAATGTGCAGCCTATGGAAGGAGAGTCAGAGATAATATTTTTAGAATTTCCTTAATAAAAAAAAAAAGAGCATGGAAGCTCTGAATTAAACACAGTTATGTGATGGATGCCTGGTATCACTTACCTAAATAACTAGTCGATTCTCACCGAAGTTAGAATCTAAGAACAGAGATATGGATAAAATTTGGCCTGGAAAGGAACGAATTACTTGAACGTTTTCTGCACTGATCTTCCTTGAATACAGGGTCTGGTCAATGTATACGATATTAAAGCCTTTTCCATGAAATACTACTTAAAAAATTTAACTGAGTGCTCCAGAGAAAATGTGATAGAGAATCCTGGACTTAACCTATGAAGCCATTTGAGTTGGTTTTTTTTTTTTTTTTTTTTTTTTGAGGAATTCTACTGTGAAGCTGGTTGAATATGAACACAAGAAATTTGATACTTTTTCTCATACTGTAGACATTTCCTCTGGAGAAAGTATTTATTTGCCCAAAGACTACTAAATTTAACATGAAGTTATTTTAAAGATTTTTTAAAAATATGCCATATATGTTACATATGAAAGAAAATTAATACGAAGTATTTTGCCATGCTAGTCTTCTTCAATTAACAAGCTGTAATTTATTTTGTAAGTGACAATAAACAGTATTCCAATCATTGTTAGTGCAATATTTAAAAAAAAAAAAAAAACCTTGAAAAAATATGCTGTAAATTTTACTACTAAAGCCAAGAGGTTTTATATATAAAAACAGCTCTAAAAAGTACCTGAATCTTGCCGGCCTTTAAAGCAGCAAACATGCACTGAGCTGTATTAAAGGCGTGTCTCCAATTATGATAGGCAACATTCTTCCTGTAATTCTTCTTAACACTTAAAATCCACCTGCAAAGAACCTTTAGGAAGTAAAGCATAAGTAGTAATAATGCTTGCTAACACGTATCACATATTTACTCTGTTCCAGGCACTGTAGGAAGCATTTACATATAACCCTTGGACTGTGGGGGAGGTACTACAACTTTGAAAATTTCACAGATGAGGAAACTGTCATTCTGAGTGGTAACTCGCTAAAGGTCACATTGCTCCAACGTAAAGGGAGAGGCTAAAATTCAAACTTGAGCAGTTAGACTTCAGAGCCCACCATGTTAGCCACCATGCTAACTACGTGAGACGTAAAACGCAAGACAGCTCTAGTGAAGGTATTTTTGGCATGGGTGCGGAAGGTACTGACTAGCTTTTTAAAAGATACTGTGTCTCGTGTGCCATCAAATAGTCAACTGTGTACGAATTCACGAATTCATGTGTAGAGAGTCATGGAAATAGCCACTCTCAAGTTCTTCTCTACTCCCACTTTTTAGTTCTGCAAAGGTATTCGGTGCAAGGCTGGGGAAGTGGACTGGGAGCTGAGATAGAGAGCAATGTCTGAGCACAGAATGGAGCTCCAAGTCCTGATGCCATCAGGTCTTTTGTTCCTTTTAAACTACACTTAAGTATTCAGGCAGAGTTACTGCTTGCTTACCAAGAAGTAATTTTTAAGGATATATATACAAAATAAAGCCCTGAGGTCCCTATGAAAAAGACGTATTTTAAAAGATTGGGGGGGTGGGGTTGGACAGACCAGAAAATCTCAAAAGCTGGGTTTAATTCAACTTCCAAGTAGTGTATTCAATAAAATCCCCAGAGATGCCTGGGCCCTAAGCATGGTTATTTTTTGTTTGGGTTAGCATCAGAGTCTGCCTCTCTTCAATTCTGAATGATTTACTATACTTTGGGGGATCTGTGAGAACAAATATGTGCTTCTTCCTCCGTATATCACTGGAGATACCTCAAACACAAAGAACATTGCCCTCGGGCATGGAAAAAGTACCAGGAAAAAGAATGTTGCTTTAACAACATTCAATACAAATGACTGGCTGCAGAAGTAGGCCAAAAACAAGGTTTCTTCTTTGTTGGTAGAAATTGCTTATATAGGGTTTGGTAGAAAAATCAGTGCTTTCATAACCCTCCTTTTCTTTTCAGGTCTTTTTGTTCCTGTTCTATTACGCAGTTCACAGGGAATTCTGATAACGAGCAAGCCAAATGTTCCCTAGCTCTTGCACCTCCAAGTCACCTTATTTAGCAGAGGATTTCTGTGTGCCTAAGACTGACATGTGTTAATCCCAAGTGCAGTTTCTTTCATCATGACCATTTCTGAACAAAATCAGCTAGAAAGATGATAGTTTCATCTTTTTAGCAGAATTAAGAGCTCTAAACTTGCTTCGATGTGCATAGTTAGAAACTATATGTGTATAGTTAGAAACTATAAAGCGTTATAGAAAATTAGTGATGATGAATTAAAGAATCAAGGAAAACCCAAAAATTTAACCTATGAATATATCTCTTTACTAATCATAAATCTGTAGATATGATTAAATGTGCATATAATCACAAAATGTGGAATAATGACCAAAATGACTATGAATATTAATTCCTGATGGACTATTCTACTATCCTTGTAATAAGATGGGACTAAGAGAAATGGGTAATCCAATGGGTACAGTAGTTAGGAACTAGATATAAGCACAGGTTTGGGTTCTATTATCAGGATGACTTTTTTTTTCATTTTTTTTTCAGGATGACTTTTTAAAAACATTTCTCTTGAGTATAGTTAACACATAATGTTACATTAGTTTCAGGTGCACAACACAGTGATTCAACTTCTCTATACATCATACAATGCTTGCCACAAGTGTAGCTACCATCTGTCACCATACAGCGCTATTGTGACATCATTGACTATATCCCCTGTGCCCTTTATTCCTGTGACTTAATCATTCCATAACTAGAAGCCTGTATCTCCCATTCTTCTTCACCCACTTTGCCCATCCCCCCAGCCCTCTCCCCTTTGGCAACCATCAGTTTGCTCTCTGTATATACAGGTCTATCAGGATGTTAATAGTATTTAGGAAAATTATAGTCAGATCTGCTCAGTGCTTGGTGGATATGCCTGGCATGTTCAAATCTGCAATATACTGAATAATTATGTGCAAATTGCATGACCCTAGGGAGCATGCTCAATACACTGATCAGTCTCCAACAATGACAAAGGCTTCCTAAATCCTGAGTGGCAGACTCAAGATGCTCTGGGACAAAGAGAAGAAACAGAAAACAGCTCAGTTTCTGCCCTCAAGAATCTCAATCAGAGTGAAAATAATAAAAGTGTACATATAAAGGAAATAAAATCGAGACCACAAATTGTCAACAGTATTCCAACGGGTATGAAGTCAAACCTAGGATTGAGTCAGACTCTGAGGAAGTGTGCTGTGGCAGAAAGTGGAACAGCCTTGTTAAGTGGGACAGTCCATTCAGGAGAGGAATGACACGTCAAAGAGAGAAGGTGAAAATTAACATATGCAGATGTGTACAAGTAGAGTCAAGAGTCTGTTTCAATAGGTCCGCAATAGTAATGGTTGTGATGTTTATAGGAGAGTCACACTCAAGATTTGGAAGCCAAGAAGAGACATGAAGATTTGACATATCTTTCAGTTGAAAATATTCTTTGTTGTTGCAGCTTCATGATCTCCAGTAATAACATTTTAATTTTATCACTCTAAAATTATACTGACAATAGTATCTGAAATAAACATGAAAAAAACAAAACAAAACAAAACAAAAAACAAAACCAACCACGATAGAAGAGTCACTAACGGAGGAAGGCCAATCAGAACGACTGTGATATTCAAATTGGTGTTGGCCAGAATCAGAATAGTAGTTATTTAAACAGAAAAGGAAAGTAAATGAATGAGACCTTGAAGAAAAATATCTGCCTAATGAACAACAATTCAAGAAAAGGTAAGAAAAAGGGTTGCTAAAAGAAATTCTGAGTGACTGGGGCACCTGAGTGACTCAACTGTTTAAGTATCCACCTTTGGCTCAAGTCATGATCTCAGGGTCCTGGGATTGAGTCCCATTTTGGGTTCCCTGCTCAGCAGGGAGCCTCCTTCTCCCTCTGCCTATGTCTCTGCCTCTCTGTGTGTCTCTCATGAATAAATAAATAAAATCTTTATTTTTTTATTATTTTTTTTAATAAATAAAATCTTTAAAAAGAGAGAGAGAGAGGAACATATACGCATGCATACAAATAGACAGTCATATCGATGCATGTGTCATTCTCACAAGACTCTCACTGGGGAAGTCATACCATTAATCCCCAATTAATAGACTATGAAACTGAGAATTTGAGAGATTAATTGCTTAAGGAAATAAGAGCTAATAACCAGTAGAGCTGTAACTCAAAATCCATGATCTTTCTACTCTTCTCATGCTATCTGAATTTCTTCATTTGAAAACAGGGCCACTAACAACAGGCCAGAGAACCATTCTTGAGAGCTTCTTGAAGTAATCAAGCAACATGATGTCCCTTAATCAACATGGATCTAAGATGAGTGAAGTATTATTAAATCCACAGACAGTAGTTCTTTGTTTTTACCCAAGAGTAAGATAAACTTTGGCTAAATTTTTTTAAGAGATTATTTATGTGAGAGAGAGACAGAGAGAGAGAGAGAGAGAGAGAGAGAGAGGAGAGAGAGTCACAAGCAAGATGAAGGGCAGAGGGAGAAGCAGACTTCCCGCTGAACAGGGAACCGGTCATGGGGCTCAATCCCAGGACCCTGGGATCATGACTGGTGGTTCAGTCACCCAATACTTTGGCTAAATTTAAGAAAGAATACTCCAAGAATACCATAAATGACACTGTATTAACCTAGTTATATTAACCCTTCATTTTCATTCCTAATTTAGGCTTTTGAGAGCCTCTGCTGAAATGAATACATATACAGTGCCAGGTACACTGTATATGCTAATAAAGTTTCATTTTATGAATTCATGGATTGCTAAATAGTAGAGGCTTTCAAAGGATTTAAATTTTCAGACAGGAAATCTGTACAAGACTAGAAATTCAAATGTCCAGAAAAAAAAAAGTAACTTTGAAGGCAAATTACTACATTTTCCCCCTAAACAATCCTTTTTCTTTCCCCCTTATTCTTTGATGCTATACACTCAGCCGTTAAGGAGCTCTCCCCTAGTATCTCCAGATGGGTATTAGAAGATACTGACTGAAGTCTCGCTGTTTTCTGAGAGGTAAGTAAGGTAATTGGCAGGGGTTAAAAATCAGTTTTCGTCATCACCCCATATGGGTAGCCCCTGTTCAAACCACAAGCTTGGCCTCTCATCAAGCGCCTGTACGCCCTCATTTCCAAAGCAGTTCACTTTGTCTTGGTCCTTGTCCGTACTGTGTTATCATAACCTCTGCAATCAGATCAAGTTACTTCCCCGTTTAAAATTCCTCAGTGACTCACCATTGTTTTCAGGATAAAACCCAAATTCCTCTGAATAGCTTAGAAAGTTCCATACAATCTCTACTTCTTACCTTCCTCTCTAGCTGCCAGCCTCGCCACGCTGCCTCTCTCAACCAGTGCCCGATGCCCCAGCCCCACTCCATCAGCCCACCGTGGCACGTCCTACTCCCACTCCTGGGGATACTCTCCCCTGTTCTTTACCTTGGTGCTTGACAAACAGTAAGAACCCAATAAATGTCTTTTTAGGGTTGATCGTTTTTCTTTAAAAATCTCAGGGAGGCATCAGGTGACAGTATATTAATTCTCTCTCTCTCTCTCTCTCTCTCTCTCTCTCTCACACACACACACACACACACACACACATGCACGAATGCACATGCACTATCTCTCTTTTCCAAAGGACATGATTGTATTCCTACCTCATGTTTCATCTGGAAGTTCTGCACAAGGTTGAGGTCAGTGAACATCCGAATTGTGCACAGTGCTGTTTCTAGGTCAGACAACTCAAAGTCACTGAAGCTGAAGTCAGTAATTTTAAGCGTCTGAGCAGATGGTACCACAGCAGCCTTAGGTAAAAACAGAACAAAATGAAATAAAGCTGTAAATTTTATAAAGCAGCAGTGATTCACAAAGTTTTCTCACTTTGCTTTAGGGAAATACCACATTGTGTTTTTTTCTTTTTATGTATACCCTATAAATCTTTTGATAAAGGAGCTACTTCTGTTTTTTTTTTTTTTTTATGAGTTACGTGGCGGGGGGGGGGGGGGGGGGGGTTCCAGGTAGGCTACATGGAGGAGAGAGGGGGACTGTCCTGAGATTGTACTCAGAACCGTAAGCAGAACTAAGGACTCCGGCAATCTGGCCCCATTTACATCCCCAGTCTTAGTCACTGAACAGACGCTTATTGAGTAATTGTTCTGGATCCATCCCAATACTATGGGCTGGGGATCAAGTGGTGAGCAGGACTGTGATAACATTCTACGTATTTTATGTTTAATTGGCAAGACCCTCTTGCTAAGCGGATACTCTAGCTCTATTTTTCAGGTGCAGATGCTTAAGCACAAAGAGGCTAACTGCCTTACCCACAGTAGCCCAGCCAGTTAGGGAAGGGATGCCAGCTTCTGATCTAGGCAGACTATCCTATTTTCAGATGTGACACAATCCATTGTGGGCATCGGATGAGCAGAATGCACTTCAACCAAGCCTGATCCTAAGACTCACATAGGGTGCACGTTAAAAAAAAAAACTCAGCGATTCTGATTCATTAGATCTGGGGTGGGTCTTAAGAAAAAAAAAAAAGACACCAGTTTTGTTTCTGGAGGGGCACCTGTTTGTTTTTTTTAATAATATCCTTGGTTTTGATTTGATAATTATTTAATTGTAGCCAACACTTGCAACTTCTTTAAATATACCTTGCTCCTTTTCATCAATGTTCATTCATAACTCCTGCTTCTCCTACAAAGCAGCACCCACTCTCTTCAACTGATACATAGCTCACATCCAAAGAAGGGTTAAATGCCCTTCCGTGCAGACCCCACCTTGGGAATATCCATTTAATTACAGAAAATTCACTGTAATGTAATTTCCTGTTTATCTGTCTCCTAAGTACCCTGGGATCTATATGCAGGACTGTATCTTATACATCTCTGTATCCATTGAAATGACTGATGGATACAGTTTTGATAATTGTTAACATGAACACTTATTAAATGAGTGAGAGGGGAAAATCTTATTCCCTTCACTTTATATGAGTCATAAATTCCAGTTTTAAAATCCCCAAACCACCAAGGAGGATGAAGCCCATTAACCTGCGTTGGAAAACTAGCAGACCTGGCAAGTGCCTTGCGATCCATTATACTATTTAAAAAATGGGAGATTTTAATGACTTTAATGACAACAAAAAAAAGGATTTCTGGCTTATGAAAAATCAAGCCACTCTGAGTCCCAATTCTCATGAAGCAATGTTGGCCAAGGCCGAGGCGCCTGGCTCCCTCAGACTGAGCAGAGCTGTCGGGCTTCTCTCTTAGACTTCCTGCCGGGCCCCAATGAGCATCAGAACTTGCAGGGTATTCCTTCACCCCCTTGACCATCTTTCCTGCCAGCACGTTAACTGCTTTAGCCAGATTGGGCTGCGATTTACCTGATGAAAAGAGGCTTTAACTTGGAGCCAGGCAGAGGGAAGACAAATTAGGAAATCTGAACCTGGTTCCTTCTTTTAAGGTCTTTTCCCAGACTCACTCCAAACCCCTTAGTTTTCCTAGGAGTGTCTAAGATATCACTACTCTGCTTTACCTCCATCTTTTCCGAAGTAAAAAGGCCAAAGTAACAAAATCTTAAGGATCAGTCCCACAGCTTTCTCCTACCCATCTTGGGGCGCTTGCCCATTCTCCTCTCTTGACCATCACATCGTACTCGCCTCTCTCAGACACGTTTAAGCTTTAAATTAATGTCACCTCTTCATAGGCCACACTTCAAATCTTTTCCCAAACCCCCAATTCACGAGACAATATGCATTTTGTTAAGTAAGTTCCACAGGCTACTGCGTGGGCTGAAGCAGGGGAAGAGAGGATTTAAAATGTTTAGATCAAGGGCTTCATTGTTGACACCAGGCCCCAACATCAGAGATTGCAGCAGTCAACTGCTGTGCAACTGGGAAGTGTGGAGGTGGGAACTACCAGCCCACCCTGGTAACTCGGAGCAGATTGCAGCTGCTTCCCTTAAACATACTGCACTCCACTGGAGAACAGATTTTTCCCCCTCAGGGCATCATTATTCTTACAGAAGTTTTCTTTCTTTCCTTCCATAAAGGATGTAGGATGAAGAAGGCCAACACAGCTTGTGCCTCTCTCCTTGACACTCTAACTCCCAACCTCTCTACGGAGAGAAAACAATGTTGTCTTTTGCTTGTTCAGTCACACCACTCAACCTTTCTGAGCTGACCCAGGGGGGATGTGCAAACGTTTTCCTTGGGAACCTTGTGGTCAGTGATACAGCGGTTCAGAATTCTTGGAATTGACTGCTAACGAGCCGTGAGCAAATCAGAGGTCGTTCACGGCCCTTGTAAATTGCCTCCCTGACCATCACGAGGCAGTTCAACTTTCTGTTGGTCTTGAAAGGGCTTGGGATAAAGGTGCTTTTGAATAAAACACGACCTGTAATTCTTACCATTTCATAAAACAAAAATATTCTACAGTTTACTAATTGCAGAGAATAAAGGTTGTGGCATTTCTGGGATAGGATATATATATATATATATATATATATATATATATATAAAATTCTGGATTTTCACAGCTGCTTTTTAGTGACTGTTTTGTTAGAATTTACAAAGTGACTTTTTTTTTTCTTCAGGTGATAATTTAACTTATTGCACCGTGGCACTGAAGACTAACAGAAATAGCCTGTTTCTAAAGATTTTGTGAAGCTACGAGGTGCTATAGATGTGTATATGTCTAATGGTTAATAATCTAACTCAGTTTATGATACCATCTAATCCCACAGAATAATACATAATAATAATAATAATAATAATACATGAGAGTGTAAATGCCTGTGACTCCTCAGGCAACAGTGTTTAGGTATTTTATTGCTTAATTCAAATATAGATAAGCTCTTCTAAAGTTGGGAGTTTAATTTGTGTCAAATTAACCAAATATGGGGTGCAAAAAAGTACAGGAAGCTCAGTGAGTTAAAGATTCAATCTGGCAAACAAATCCGTAGTATAGTCTCATTTTTCTTCTGAGTTCTGGAATTGGATCTGCCAAACTCATCAAGAAACTAGTTTACCTCTCATCACACTTCAGAGGAAATTCTTTATTTAAGTCACCCTTTTATGACCCTTTTTCTAATGCTTTGGTCCCTTTTCACCATTTCAGCAAAAAAATTTTAAAACCACAATCGGTTTCGGAAGTGAAATTCACTAAGGGTGGAACTAAACATATACTTGGGAGTAGGACTGGACTGGGTTAAAGGAAGCAGTATTGAGTCCCCCTGCAGCCCCACAGTATTTACAGTTTTAAAAATATTTTAATTTCTTAGCGTTCTTAACTCAAATCCAGTTGTTCTGAATATCAATGTCAACTGACAAAGAGCTAAATATTAAATTGATGACAATTAGCGAGAGTAACTACTACATTTATATTTACATTTCGGCATTAGATAATGGTCATAAAAAGAGGAATTTTATTTATTTTTTTTTTATTTTTATTTATTTATGATAGTCACACAGAGAGAGAGAGAGGCAGAGACATAGTCAGAGGGAGAAGCAGGCTCCATGCACCGGGAGCCTGACATGGGATTCGATCCCGGGTCTCCAGGATCGCGCCCTGGGCCAAAGGCAGGCGCTAAACCGCTGCGCCACCCAGGGATCCCAAAAAGAGGAATTTTAAAGCAAAGTGAAGCACATGGTAAAAAGTTATGTTTGTGTGACACCTGCATGGCTCAGTCATTTATTTAGTGCACAGCTCTTGATTTTGGCTCAGGTAATGATCCCAGGGTCATGAGATTGAGCCCCATGTGCACTCAGCGTGGAGTCAGCTCGTTCTTGTCCCTCTTGTTCCCCCTCTGTGCCTCCTTGTCGCTCTCTCTCAAATAAATACATAATATATATATATATATATATATATATTTTTTTTTTTTTTTTTTACAAAGGGGGCATTTTTGCTATTAAGGGTTCTAGTCCCAATGCGTCCCTGACTTTATCACCCTCAACAAGATGTTCAACCTCCTTTCTTACCTGTAAAATGAGGGGGTTGGGTGAGAGTGTCTCTAAGATTTAATATTCCGAATTTATGGTATATATATTTCTCTACCACAGGACTCCAGAACTTCTTATTGCTTTCTCACTTTGGAACGAAATACCACCCTGAAGGTGGCATGTGAATCCTACCAGTGTCTTTCCTTTATGGGGCTCAGTCTGTCTCTGACCTCTCATCATTTAAGGTAAATGGATGGGTACACCATAGCTGTTATGGTTATGCTGTGTTTTTCATGCTTGATTCCATGTTCATGTCACTGTCAGGCTTCCTCACACATGAGAAGGGATATCCTACAACTCCTGGCTAAACAGAGGACCCACAGCCTCTGTGTGAGTGTAGAGGAGGATGAGACTAGGTATGTGGTGGTATCTCTACTTACTGCAGTAATGCTCTAAATGAAAATTGGAGTTTCCTAAAATTGCCATTTGTATTTTTGTTGAGGGGAGGGTATGGGAAGAAGTCATTTGTTTGACAAGTCACTCTTGTCATTTTTTTTTTTTTTTAGGTTAATACTCTTTCTCACTTCCAGGCCTCTTTAACTGTTTTTCCTCTGCCTTGAATGCATCCCCCAAGTTTTCATAGAGCTAGTTTTTCTCTCATCCTTCCCAGCTGCACCAGGGAAACACTCACTGTGTATCCCCTTGGTAGATACTATGGCAAAACTCCCTTAGCATCCATCTCAACCTACTGCTGGGGAGCCTTCAAAATATATTTCTCGGGGTACCACAACCGTGCCCATATAGGATGGTAAACTTAATCAGTAAATCAGTATTATGTTCTGAAGTTCCACCGACGAGCTGTTCCACCATCTCTCTTCCTCTCCTCGGGCTTCCCAATTCCCTGAGACACAACAATACCGAAACTAAGCCAGTCAATAACTCTGCAGTGGCCTCTAAGTGTTCAAATGAAGGGAGAGTTGCATGTCTCTCCCTTTAAGTCAAAAGGCAGAAATGACTGAGCTTGGTGAGGAAGGCATGTCAAAAGCCAAAATAGGCCAAAAGCCACACCTCAAGCTCTAGTTAGCCAAGTTGTGAATGCAAAGGAGAAATCCTTGAAGCAAGTTAAAAGTGCTACTCCAGTGAACACACCAATGATAAGAAAGTGAAACAGCTTTCTTGCTGATGTGGAGAAAGTTTCAGTGGTCTGGATAGATCAGATCAGCCGTAGTATTCCCTTAAGATAAAACCTAATCCAGAGCAAGACTCTCTCTTTAATTCTGTGAAGGCTAAGAGAGATGAGGCGGTTCAGAACAAAAGTCTGAAGCTAGTAGAGGTTGGTCATGAGGTTTAAGGAAAGAAGCCATTTCTATGACATAAAAGTCCAAGGTGAAGCAGCAAGTGCTGATGTAGAAGCTGCAGCAGGTTATCCAGGAAATCTAAGGTAATTCATGAAGGTGGCTACACCAAACTACAGATTTTCTATATAGATGAAGCACGTCCTATTGGAAGAAGATGCCAGGTAGGACTTTTACAGCTAGAGAGGTCATCTGCAAATATCTTCTTCCAATCGGTAGGTTGCCTTTTTTGTTTTGGTTTCCTTTACTATGTAAAACTGTTCTTGTTTGATGTAGTCTCATTTGTTTATTTTTGCTTTTATTGCTCTTGCTTGAGGACACAGATTCAAAAATATATCACTGAGAATGATGCCAAAGAGTTTACTGCCTACGTTTTCATCTAAGAATTTTATGATTTCCACTATTACATTTAAGTCTTTAATTCATTTTGAGTTTATTTTTGTATACAGCGTTTGAAAGTGGTCCAGTTTCATTCTTTTCCATGTATTGTCCAGTTTTCTCAAACCATTTATTGAAGAGGCTGTCTTTTCACCACTGTATATTCTTACCTCCTTTGTTGAAGATTGACAATATAAGCACAGGTTTATTATGGGCTCTTTATTCGGCTGCATTGGTCTGCATGTCTATTTTGTGCCAGTACCGTAGTGTTTTGATTACTTAGCTTTACAGTATAGTTTGAAAACAGGGAGCATGATTCTTCCAGCTTTGTTCTTCCTTCTCAAGATTGCTTTGGTTATTTGGTGTCTTGTGCAGTCCCATGCAAATTTTAGAATTAGCTGTTTGAGGTCTGTGAAAAATGCTGTTGGTATTTTGGTAGGGATTACACTGAATTCAGTGCAAACTGCTTTGGGCATTATGGACATTTTAACAATATTAATTCTTCTGACCCATAAGCACAAGTAGATTTTTCCATTTATTTGGTCTTCACTTTCTTTCATCAACATTTTATGGTTTTCAGAGAACAAGCCTTTTATATCTTTGGTTAAATTTATTCTTAGGCATTTATTCTTTTTGATGTAATTGTAAATGGGATTTGTTTTAATTTCTCTTTCTAGTTGTTTGTTATTAATGTACAGAAACGCCATAATAATTTTGTGTCCTGTGACTTACTGAATTCATTTATTAGTTCTAACAGTTTTTTGATGGGAGTTTTTAGACTTCTCTCTATATAGTAAATCATGTCATCTGAAAATAGTGAGTTTTACTTTTTCCTTTCCAATTTGGATGCCTTTTATTTATTTTTGTGTGTCTAGGACTTAGAATCCTGTGTTTAATATAAGTGGCATGAGGGGACATCCTTGTCTTCTACCTAATTTTAGAGAAAAACTTTTCCGCTTTTTCATATTGAGTATGTTTGCTATGGGATTGTTATATACAGCCTTTATTATGCTGAGGTATGTTCCTTCTAATACTCACTTTGTTGAGAGTTTTTATCATTAAGTGAATGTTAAATTTTGTTAAGTACTTGTTTTGCATCTATTGAGGTGATTCCAAGATTTTTACCATTTTCTTAACGTGGTGTATCACATTGATTTGCAGATATTTAACCATCCTGGCAACCCTGGAATAATCCCTTTTGATCATGGTGATCCTTTAAATGTATTGTTGAATTTGGGTTGCTAATATTAGTTGAGTATTTCTGTATCTATATCCATCAGGAATACTGGCTTTTTTTGTGGTATCTTTGCCTGGTTTTGGTATCACAGTAATGGTGGCCTCACAGAATGAGTTTAGAAGCATTTCTTTGTCCTTATTATTATTGTTTTTTGTAATAATTTGAGAAAGATAGGTATTAACTCTTCTTTTAAGTATTTGGAGAATTCACTTGTGAAGCCATCTGGTCCTGATTTTTGTTTATTGGGAATTATTATTACTGATTCAATTTCATCACTAGGAATTATTCTGTTCAGATTTTCTATTTCTTTGTTCTTTGTTTTCTATTTCTTTATTGTTGTTTCTAAGATTTTACCTATTTTTCTAGGTTGTCACATTGTTTGGCATATAACTGTTCATAATAGCCTCTTAAGATCCTTTGTATTTCTCTCTGCTTTTTTTTTTTTTTTCTAGAGAGAGACAGCACAAATGTGGGGGCAGGGGAGAGGAAGAGAGAGAATCTTTTTTTTTTTTTTTTTTTTTTTAAGATTTATTTATTTATGAGAGAGAGAGAAGCAGGCTCCCTGCAGGGAGCCCGATGTGGTACTTGATCCTGGATCCTGGGATCACGACCTGAGCCAAAGGTAGCCACCCAACTGCTGAGCCACCCAGGCATTCTGGAGAGAGAAAATCTTAAGCAGGCTCCTTGCTGACTGTGGAGCCCGACTTAGGGCTTGAGCTCATGACTCTGAGATGAACTGAACCAAAATCAACAATCAGACCCTTAAATGACTCAACTCAGGTACCCCAAGATCCTTTGTATTTCTGTAGCATCTGTTGAAACTTCTCTTTCATTTCTAATTTTACTTATTTGGGTCCTTGGGTGTTTTGCTTTTTTTTTTTCATGAGGAATATGGCTACAGGTTTATCTCTTTTGTTTGTCTTTTCAAATAATCAGTTCTTTGTTTTATTGATGTTTTCTACTGGATTTTTTGTCTCTATTTCATTGTTTCCACTTGGATCTTGATTATTTCCTTCTTTCTATCAACTTTTGGCTTTTTTTTTTTTTCTAGTTCCTTTAGGCATAAAATTAGATGATTTTTTTTTTTTTTACTTTTTCTTGTTTCCTGAGGTAGGCCTGTATGTCTTAAACTACTTCATATACTTGCTTTTGTTATATCCTACAGATTTTGTAATGTTGTATTTTCATTTTCATTTATCTCTAGGATTTTTATTTCCTCTTTGATTTCTTCATTGACCCACTGGTTGTTTAATAACATATTGTTTAGCCTCCATGTGTTTGTGTTTTCTCCACTTTTCTTCCTATAATTAATTTCTAGTTCCAAACTGTTGTGGTGGGAAAAGATGCTTGATATATTTGCTACTTATATTTATTGAGACATATTTTTGGCCTAACATGTGCCCTATCCTGGAGAATGTCCCATGTGCACCTGTTTTCGTCCTTTACCAGGTCAGAAAAGTTTTTAGGCATTATTTCTTCAAACAGGTTTTCTGTCCCTTTCTCCCTCTCTTCTCCTTCTGGGGCCCCTATGTGAGTGTTAGTACACTTGATGTTGTCCCTTAAATTGTCCTCATTTTAAAAATTCTCTTTTCTTTTTGTTCTCATTGGGTGGTTTCTACCTCTCTGTCTCAGAGGCTGATCTATTCTTCTGCATCATTTAATCTGCTGTTGATTTCCTCTAGTGTATTTTTAATTTGTTGTTGTATTCTTCCGTTGATTGGCTCTCTTTTGTATTTTTCTGTCTTTGTTGATGTTCTCACTGTATTCATCCATTTGTCTCCCAAGATCAATAAGCATCTTTATGACCATTTCTTTGAACTCTTCTAGATGGTTTATCTCCATTTATTTCTTTTCTGCAGTTTTATCTTGTTTTTTCATTTGGAACACATTCTTCTGTCTCTTCATTTTGCCTGTTTGCTTCTTTCTATGTATTAGGTAGATCAGTTATGTCTCCTTGTCTTGAAGAAGTGGCTTTATATAGGTGTCCTGTGGGGCCCTATAGTGCAAACGCCCCTGGTCATCCATACCCTCTGGGTGTGGTAGGATGGAGGACCACTCACTGGTTGTGGTATGGTAAGGTTACTTGCGACAGTGCCATTGTCACCAAGGCCACCCATGAGGTATGGTGGGGTGGAGCCACTTGAGAGGAGCACAGGCCAGGATGGGTGGACTGGGTAAGGCATGTCTACAGGAAAATGCCAGGCCAGGGCAAGCAGTGCTAGCATGGTACATAGAGTGTCAGAAATGGCATCTACTAGGTAGGGTAGCTACTGAG